GTTTATGATTACTGTATGGTAGCAAATAGAGTGTATATATATGCACATACATACCCACACAAATAATATATATTCTGTATACACACAAATCTCTCCTAATGGTTACCATTAAGTTTCTGCAGAAGGCATCTCTACAAGCAATGGGCAGCCATACACTTATCACCCATCTGTGCTGAATTGTTTCATAATCCAGATTCAAATATTGATGTTACTTGTCCTATTCATGAGTCTGTCTATGCTGCATCATTATTTACCATTTATTGTACAACAAAAACTGTAATTAAAAACTTACAAGTGCGGTTCTACTCAGTACAGCGTACTATAGCAACATGGTACCTCTTTATTGAGATCTGAATCTTGTGTGTATTCAGAGTTTTATCTGCTATTTTAGTGACAAAAATTAAATATTTACTTTTTAAACTGTTAGTGCTGGAGAGCCAGCAAAACAAAGAGTGAGGAGCTTTATTCTGTGTTATCTTGTGCAGTGTCAACAGAGTAGATGACAAAGTTCCACTTAGTTACATCTGTGCAAACCATAATTTGCCATGCAGAATCTGTGTTACTGGTGCTCATGTGCAAGATAAAAGAACCCATTTTAAATCCCAGGTTGAATTTGCAGGGCTGACAGAACATCTTTATGACTTATAAACTGAGTATTTTGAGTAGGAAATCATTGAGACAATAAACAGGGAACCCATGATGCTATTTTACCAAGTCACATCTCAGAGTAGAACCTCATTTAATATATTTTTCAGTGGGCATTGAAAGATATCTTCCAACAAATGTTAGCTGTAACTGCTGATCATATCACTTAAGAATGCACAAAATAGTCTGTTTTTTTCAATGTATTTAGTATATTTCAATTCATATCAACTCTTCATTAGTCAGGCAATAAAGAAGACATTCTTAAATGTGTATTTGAATAATGAAATGATTGCTCATGACTGTATTTATCACTATCAAATATTAATTACCAAATACACTTGCTGGATGTAAACCTTTTGTATTTCAATAAAATATAATAAAACTGTTTACTTGACAATTGTGTAGGAGATTCAATCAGTATTTAATCTCATTATCATAATTACATCCTAATTTGATGTTTGGGTCTTAAATTAATTTGGAAATAAAAATGATAAAAACTGTGTGTCAGGCAAGTAGAATCTAGAGTTGAAATAGGGTAGCCATTTAAATCGAAAGGGATGCTTAACATCACTTCACCCTTGTCCCAGACATGCGGGAAGAAAGACAGTTTGCAAAGAATGTGGTTTAATTAGGCCGCAACTTTAATAACTTGTCTCATTGCTGGCTAGTTCCTAGGTAATTTGTACAGTGCAGATCATGATTCCTTCCTTAATCGCTCTCACCTGATAGAGGGCTGCCATCAGCCCCCCACTCTTCCACAGCTGGTCCCAGCCCATTGTTGGGACCCCTTCTCCAATCCTTTGTACCAGAGTGAAGGGGCTGGACAAAGGGTGTTTTTGCTGTGCCAGATATCAGGAGCCCGAATCCCATTCCCCAGCTGCTTTAGGAGATGCCTTTCTCTAAATCCACTTCCAGCTTATCCCCTGTGGAACAAATCCTTGCATTGGACACATGCCACAAGGAGGCACCAGTCATTTTACTTGGCTGCCTCACACCAGCCCCAGCTGGGTTCCCAGATAGTTAACAATTTCCTCTGTAACAGCCAATAATATATCTGCTCCCTGCTCAGGAAGGTGTACTTCATTGTCCCTGAATAATAAGGTACCAAATACAATAGTTTTGGGTGGGTAATTATGGATCTTCTCCATTCCTGATGAGACACACACCTTCTGGCCTTGTCAACCCAGCATTTCAGACGAGTCAGCATCACCCCCTGAATCTGGATTTTCCCTAAATACCTCTGTGCCCTGATGATCACATCACCCGCTTACAAAATCCCTACTCAACTAATGAACTATAATCATTTCAGGTGACTGTTTCTGGACTGCCAAAGAATGTAAAACAGGCATCAGCTGGTCCCACAGCACATCCCTTCTGCAACGCCAACTCAGATTCACCTTGCCTCGCCACTGAGGCCAAGCTATGGACCTCCAGGGGAACAGACTGCCTCCCTATAGTCCCAACACAGGGCCGGCTCCAGCATTTCTGCCGCCCCAAGGAAAAAAAAAAAAAAAAAAAACCCCCGACCACGATCAGCGGCGGCAATTGGGGGGGAAAAAAGAAAAAAAGCCGCGATCGGCGGCGGCAGTTGAGCAGCAGGTCCTTCGCTCCTAGAGGACTGCATGTTAAGCTGGTGCCTGGAGCCGGCCCTGCCAACACACAATATTGTGCCCACAGATACAAATATTAAGTCTCATGACCTGCCCTGCTCCATGTCACCTGCCCCTCCATCCCTGCCAACTCAGAGCTTCAGCCCAGCAATGAACTTCCAGGGGGAAACAACCATCCACCTTTGAGCCAAATGCCTAATATTGTGTCCGCACATCCAGTCACCAACTCCTGTGACGCGTTCACATGATTCTGAAGGAAGGGACAAACAGGGAGAGTTTAGCACATATAAACCACTGAACTATTTTCCTCTACAGGGGCCTCCAAACCCTTCTATGCATTTGGATGCTGCCATTGACAGGCATAACATGTTGGGCTCTTATTCCAAACTACACTCTGGATGTAATCAGCCCAATGCTGAATGAATGGGATCTCAATTCACCAGCAAAATCTCAACATTATGCGCTCGTTGACATCACCATAAAATGAAATTTCTTCTTCTGAGGTAACTTCCTTTCCCATGAAGAAAGAGGGGTCTTAACACTAAGCCTGTCTGTATTGCTTGGACTGGGCAACTCTGCTAGTACTATAACTCACCTGGCCATCCCTTAATTGATTTCCTGACACTCAAGTGACCTTAATAACTCATCTACAATATTTCTTTTCCTTCAGAAAGGCCTTTCTGCCTTTTTTTATATTTTTCTAAACATGGTCAACTTTTCCCACTTAAACTGCAAGTATTGGGTTAAAAGAAAGAGATACCAGATAGATTTCAACATGGGATGTATTTATTTTGTGTAATTTTCAGTACATCATTAAGAGATCAGTTTAGGGAAACTACTTGAAAAATATTTTTAAACAACAAAAACAAAAAGAGGATGCAAGTGCAAAAAGAAACATAGAATCTCATCAATGGAAAGAAAAGGTAGATCCATATTCTTGGGTCATGTGATCAGGAATACAGCCTGGTATGTGTGTTTATTTCTTTTTATTTACTAACATGCTACATGTGAAAAGCCCCAGCTACTCTGGATATCAGGTTTGGTTTGGTTTTTAAATCATTCAAAGACACAGAACAAGAGCCAATGTTTTCTATTCATTTTCCTGTTGACGTGTCAGGTCGGAGCAGTTCAAATTGCTCCTTACTGCTAGATATCAGGAGCAGCATTAGCCAACACTGTATTCTCCATATGGCAACTCCTTATCACCAATGAGATAACCAAGTGTCTAATCTAGCAATCAGCTAATGCAGAGTACTAGTAAGCCACTTCCAGCAGAGACCTTTACTGGAATGCATACTATCCTGTCAAAACTGGGAAATTCTAAACTTTAGAAATTTTTCTCTGGCTCAAATTAAGACAAGAGCAAGTACCGAGAGCAATAGAAAGATGTGGGAAATGTGTCATATGACAACATCCAGCCACCAGTTCCATTTTGACTAAAGTAAGAAAGATTTCTTGGTTATCTCAGACCCATTGCCATGATATCTGAGTGACTTACAAATATACTCGGACATAAGAACGCTGAATATGCCATACTGTATAATAAAGGCTAGTTTCCTCCCGATGTATAACCATAGTTACTATTGAGAGAAGTTATGGGTATGCATCAAGAGAACACTTTTAAATGTGTTAATATCAGGAATAAATCAATACACTGTATTTTTTAAAACTCTTTATAATGTACCAATAAGATCATGAGACTACACATAACTAGGCAATAACTAAAATTCAGATAGACAAAGAAGAGGGTGAGCATCTGAGCTCCAAGATGGTTCAACACTTCCTTAAATGTGTCTATTAAATGCCACAGTCTCTTATAATGTTTAGGATTTCCAAGAATCTGGTGACTGGAGGCTATGAGATTCTGGTCCTAATTCAGCGATGTACTGAAACAAGTGCCTAACTTCAACCATACAAGTAGTACCATTGAACTCATGTAGTTGAATATATGCATGTGATTGAATAACTTACTGAATTGGGGCCTTATGCATGCATCTTTCATACTGCAGTCAATAATTACAGCTTAAGTAAAGTGTTGGGTGTGGGAAGAGAAAGGGCATTTTGAGAGCCTGACCAATGCCACCACATGACCTAAGAGCGATGCGATACTTACCTTGAAAGAAAACACACCGAGACATATTCAATATTCAGTTCAGAGACACTGTCAATCACTTGTGTAGTGGATTCATAAATAAATAACTAGTTCTTTACTAAAAGATTTTCACACTTATTACAACATGGAGTGTATTTCTGATAACAGACTGACTGTGGCACACAAACAATCTCTACTCTGACAGTTAGGAAGTGTTCTCATCACTTTTTCTTACTGCACTATTGAACTGTACCTTTTCTTAAGTTCACAATGAAGGGAATTTAGAAACTAAAGTTTTCAAAAAAGATTTCAACCTTAGGATCCAGAGAGGAAATCAGTTTATCTATATAGACATATATAGATATATAAACTGAAGTATGTAAGCTTTGTTCTTCACTGCCGGAAAAGAGAATATTTTGCTTTCAAATGATGCCTATTTCATTTTAATTAGAAGGCATCAAACTACATCTCTATTTTTCAAATGTCTAGCACTGAGATATAAATATCAAGTTTTAATCTGCTGATATATGGCCAGCATTAGGAACACCCAGATAAATAAATAAAAGGCAGTTTTCATGGTGTGAAATGATAATTCCTATACACAAGCATTTTCATTGCGAAATAAGGAAAGTAAGTAAGTAAGCTTCATTACATAAAGCTAGAAACCCTGAAGGGAGATTAAGTACAAAGAAATCAGAGTGATTGAAGGAAAAAGTTTGTTTTTACTGGAGACCAAAAAATGTAGCCATTTGAAGTAGCATACTGTAATTAGACACTCCAGTGATGTGTTGCTGGGCAAGACTCTGATGCCATATAACAGAAGTAACAATGTGTGTGCATGGATTAAAGTAAAAAGGATCTCTGAAATTCAGTCCTCTGTATTCTAATAAGCTATGCTACTATTTAAAAAAAGGAAAAAAAAAACAACATTTCCCTTATGCTTTCCTTTACTCTTAAATGTATCTAAAGAAATATCTTAGACAATTTTTGCATCATATATTTAAATTACACTACCTGGGTAATTTAACTATCGAAGGACTTCTAACAAAGTTTTGTCAGAAAAATATAATTGGTGTTTGCAAGAAATCTGTATTTAAAAAAAAATCCTAAAAAAAAAAGAAAAAAAATGCAAGCCTAAATGTGCAGTACAACCTTTGAGTCCCTCCATTATTACACAATACTTCAAATACATGTGTGCTCATCTCAAAACATATAAAAGAACAATGTCAGTTAAACTATGAAACAAGGTAAGAAATTAAAGATTTCCCATAAGTTTCTGAAAAAGTCAGTACATACAGATGTTGAGCAGCTTTCAGATCAGGACATAAAATGTCTTTGATCATATAGAAGTACTGTACACTCCAACTTCTCTGGAGAAGAAGTTAAAGCTAAGGCCTCACAATTCCAGTTATAAGATACATTGTACCCTCTTCACTAGACCATCCTTGAAAGGTTACTATTGTACATGTTCTGAAGAGGATTTTATAAAAAGGAAGTTGTAATGGAGTTTATCCTAGTATGTACCCTAAGTACAATAGTGTTATTTTACAGTGTTAGCATTATAACAGAAGCTTTTGAGAAGGATGCAGCATATAAAGAAAATGCAACAAACATAGTTGACTGAAACTTCTGCAGGGTCCATAGAATTAGTGAGTTCACTACACAAATTAAACATCAAAAATACAAATTAAACTCCCATGATTAATAAAATCTGTTCACTTTAAATTAAACATCTCTAACACAATTACAGACTGTTTAAATCCTCTGTTGCATAGAGGAACTCTTCCCTTTATATCATGGTAAGAGTTCTCAACTCTAATATCAATGTGCAAAGTGACTATTTTAATAGGCTTTGCAACATAGCTGTTGCATATGTAGGGCGAGCTTGTCTACTCTTAATTGCATTTTGAAGATACTGGATGCCTCCACAGCGCTCCCAAATCTCTTCAAACTGTCTCGGCAAAATTTCAGCACCACGCTTTCGAGTTAAGCCAGTCTCTTCAAGATTTAGTTCACACATCTCCATATCATCCTTCCCTGAAATGGTTAAAGCAAAATTGGTTTTATAAAACCGTTTACATGGTTCAAGATGCCATTAACAAAAATTACACATCTGCTTTGTTTCTTCCCCCCCCCCACTAAAATGCGTACAATTCTTTTAAGAGATACAATGTTTTACTGTAGTTTACAAACAAACATTAGTGCTATGAGACCAGTTTGATAGTCCTAGAGACTGAAGTTCTCCTACCCATTAAATAAGTATAGCATGGACAGCTGCAGTATAGGCTAATACTGCATGTTTCAACTGACTTGCTAATGTGCTTCAAAAGCGAATAGGCTAGAATACCTGCAAGGGTCTTTTCTGCTGAGATCACTGACAAGGATGGTTTTTGAGATGTGGGCACCCTGTCCACTAGGAAATTACTAATCAGTTTGTTTCACATAAGCCACTGAATTATCATTATTAAACTTATTCATATCTGAATAAGTGACCCAGAAGTTAAAGGTGTTGTGTAACACTGTCAAAAGCTGAATCAGCCAGTCTCCCACACTAAACATTTAAAATGACATTTGTCAACTTGTATTACCTGTATGTACATTAAATCCAAATACATGGAGAATGCAGCTAACCAATTGATTTTTTTTTAACTGTGCCAGGAGGTACATTAAACAGTGTACCCATAGGAAACAACATAATTGTGTGTGTGTGTGTATATATCTCACACACACACACACACACACACACACACACACACACACACACACACCTCTTATACATGAAAGAAGCACCAGATAGATAATTCTATAATTATTAAAAATACTATTATTTCTAATTAGCATAGAGAGAACAAACTTAGCTGCTTGGAAATGCACCCTGACTATAAGACAATGCACAAGTAACCTGGGAATGCTCTTCACTAGGGCCTTGTCTACACTACTGGGGCAAGTGGACCTAAGTTACGCTTAGTTTAGGTCGACTTACTGCAGTGTCTACACCGCACTGCGTTGATGGGAGATGCTCTCGCGTCAACTTACCTTACTCTTCTCATTCTGGTGGAGTACTGGAGTTGACCAGAGAGCATTCTGTGGTCAATTAAGACCCACTAAATCGACCCCCGCTGAATCAATTGCAGCAGCTCGATCCCCGGTAAGGAATATTTCAACACAAAGAGAGGAAGGGTCTAACTGATCGCTTTATTTGGGGTCAGGAAATAATTTTCTCCTTGGTGAGATTTGCAGAGACCCCAGGGGGTTTTCACCTTCCCCTGCAGCATGGGTCGCTTGCAGGTTTACACTAGTGTAAATGGTGAATTGTCTGTAACTTGAAGTCTTTAAATCATGATCTCAGGACTACACTAACTCAGCCTAAGGTTAGGGATCTATTACAGGAGTAGGGGGTGAGGTTCTGTAGCCTGCAATGTACAGAAAGTCAGACTAGATGATCATGATGGTCCCTTCTGACCTTAAAATCAATGAGCCGATAAAAGTAGCGTCTGGGCCATGAACAGGGCAGCAGACTGAGGCAGGCGGTGAGAGGTGACAGAAGGGGTCTCCCACAAGTCCAGGAAACATTTATAAACACATTGTTAAATACAGAAGTATTCAAAATTGTAGATAAATGGGTTTATGCCCTAATTTCTGACTTTTTAAAATTATCCTACTATTATAAACTATTTTTCATAATGGAATGATATATTGCTTAAATCTCTCCCCACCCCCAACTGCTTTCACTGCTACCTAAAATCAAATAAATAAAGCAGTGACCATGCATTATTTCAGATCACTTTATGTCAATCTTTAGTTTTGATGTTGTTTTGGTCCAGAGGTTATTGGAATCTGTAACAAGCCTCTTACAGCTACAGTATAAATATCAGCACTGAATATTTTCTATACTTGAGTTTTTCTTTACAAAAGTTGAGAGAATATACCAACCCGCTACAAGCAGAATAGGTGGCTTGTCAGGATGAAGTTCCATTTGTCGAGCAATCCAAGGCCCATCAAAATGTGCATACCACCAACCTTTCTTCTTGTTCTGAGGATCTTTATACTGGTCTGCTGGGCGAATGAAGGGAATACGGAAGTAACGCTGTTGTCTGTTTATTTCAATCTCCTGTTGTCTGGCAGGCAACTGAGCTGTTGGGTTCTGTTGAGCTATTTACAAAAAACAAAGTTACAACTGCAGATCAAACAGCAAAAGCAGCCCTTAACCCCTAAACGCCTTCTTTTTCACGTGCAAAAATCTGAAATATTTCATCAAATAAATAAATAAAATCAATGCTAGAAAGCAGATTAGCTAAAACCACACAACTCAAAATTTACCCTCCTGCATTTTCACAGTTAGCACTCTTGCAAGGGTAGTGACTTGGGAAGAGCTAGTGTTGGCCTACTTGGTAATTTTCAGCACTATGCTGTCTGGCCTTGAGCACGTCTAGACAATGGGGTGGCTAAAAAGCCACTATGGTTTAGAGTAATATTGAAGATATACTGTTTTTTATCGAACCCTTTACAAACATAAAAACAAAGTATTAAGCAGCAACTAGGGATAGACTGTCTATATTACAGTCTATCTCTTCACAAAATCAAGTCATACCACAGAGAAGCAATTTTAGATATAAAAGGCTAATGTAACATTGTAATATCTAAAGAACGATGTTATTTTGATAACCAACAGAAAAATCTTGTAATATCATTAAAGACATCTAATGTGTTAACAGAAATGCTATTACTGTCCTTTTATTACAAAACACTCACCAAAAATTGCTTTCTGAAATGTGCATTGAATTTACAAATTAGGATTACTTTCTGAGACTCTCAGGGCTTGTCTCCACTTACCGGGGGATCGACACGCAGTAAGTTGACTCCAGCTAGGTTATTCATGTAGCTGGAGTTGCGTAACTTAGGTCGATTTAGTCCCGTAGTGTAGACCTGCCCTCAGAAAGTATTTACTGTATGTCATTAAAATCAGCTCAGTTGAACAAAATTTTACATGAGACAAGCATATTTTTAGCCAACTTGTTTCTTTTTTAAGAAGTTCTGAAAGCAAGGCCAATGTGATCTTCTAAACAGCAACTTTAATATTAATCTATATTAGTCACATATAAAGTAGCAAATCTATACTGGACCTTTAATAAAATTAAAACATGGCATTCACATTTAATGTATATATTTTTGCAGTTTCATAAACAAGACATTAGTAAACAGAATAGCAAGCCCCACTTGCTATCTCTTCCATTCATACAGAACTAGAATGGTTCATTAAAGCGTAGAAAGCAACATCTGAAAAAAGGCCTGAAATGTAAATGTTAGTGCCTGAAAATTATACAGAAAACAAGAATTTTTCATGTCCACATAAGGAAAACAAGAAAAGCTTTTCTACAGAACAGGTTTTTAGTAATGTTTATTACATATGAGTTATCTGTGGATGCCACTTTTATACGCTAGCATTGATAAAACATGTTCTATATGAAAGAATAAAATTCTGAATTTATTTATATTAAACTGCATAGAACTTCATGAATCTTTTTGAATTGCCTAAATGTGCATCACGTCACACTGAAGACATACTACTATAAAACACATCTCTGCATTACAACAGTAATCAGTAGGTCTTGTTTCTATCCTTGTGCACATTTACAACCAACAGTAAATCTAAAGGATAGAAATTCTGAGCAGTCAGCTTAGCCTTCACTTTTCAATGCTAGATATTTTGACACATACAGAAATACTTCATTTTAAAAAAGAAGCCAGCATCCTAACGTTAGTTTTTGTTCTAAGAGAACAGCTACTATATTAAGTTGATTGCAGAGTTTTGCTACAATAGCAAAACGTGTACAAATACTGTATAATAAAAAGGGTAGAATTAAAATAATAGCATAGCATTTCTTGAAATAAAAAATGAGATTAACCTACATCAATAAGGTGTTTTTCCCAACATGTAGGATCTAATTATGAAAAGAAATTCCAAAAATATACAACCATTAGAGAAACCAAGTGGGTGAGGTAAAATCTTTAATTGGACCAACGTCTGTTGGTGAGAGAGAGAAGCTTTCAAGCAACACAGTGCTCTGGTAATTTAATACATATAGCCATTAGGTGTCCACATGTTGAGTTAATGTTTTTTGTGGTTGTTTTTGTGTTAAGTAGAAAATAGTGAATTATTATTTTTGATTGGTATACTTCGATTCTACATAAAAGATAGCAAAACGCTGTTCAACTGGTTAGTATAGAGCTTATAAATGGTTCCTATTTGTTAAAGTTATCTTAAATAACCATCTCCCACTTACTTGAGTTGTTGAAAAATGGTGCAAAATCTGTAAACAAATATTCCATATTGAAGGAAACATAACAATGTTGATGCTGTTAAAGTTAAACTTTACGAAATACTGAAAATGCATCACCAAACCAGATGACAAATGGAGATTCCACTTGTAATGGAAAAGTGGGCGTTGAGGCAATTATCTGCATTTCTGTGCTATTTATTGACAAGAAGAAAATGTTTTCTTTTATTAAGTTTCACAAATCTATGGTTGCTTATAGTCTAACTGGGATATAAATTTGAAATTGATATTTCAGTGACATAGTTCCACTCACAAAAAACAAATGAACAAAAACCAAAACAGTGGTACAGGTGTACTCAGCACAGATTGCAAGTATAAATCTTTGTTAGTTATTTCATGTGATTCCATGTAAAAATGTCAAAAGTTTATTAAAGGTAAGAAAAATGATTCCTAGATATTAACAGAACTGTGGCAAATTAAAGAAAGAGATGCAACTAAATTTTTTTTGGCACTATAAAACGCACTAATTCTAATCCCTTCTCTGAACCAGTGCTAACTTAACATGTTCCATTTCTCATGAACACTGACATCTAATTACTGGACAGTTTGCATAAAACTACAATATACTGGGTGAGTGGATAAAAACGGAAATATGTCATTTGAATCATGTATTCAGTGACATCTAAAAGAGTTATAGCACAAGCACCCAAGAAATCAGGTAAGTGATTATTCACTATATTGAAGGTTAGTTATAATAAATGGAATTGAAATGTTCATTTAGTGTAATTACTCACAATAATAAGAATTTATTGTGACTCTAATATGAATTTCTAAAGCTCAGTATTATGATATTACTATATTTCTCTATCAACAGCAATGATCCCAACTTTTATTAACAAAATATAATGCCATATTTTAAGAAAATGAAGGAAAAAACTATAATGAAAAACTAGAGTTGCTATAAATTTGATTGCTATGTGGTTTATTCATTCAAATACAATACAAATGTGGGAGACCCATAAAAGAGTTGCACACACACACATCCAAAGATAGATTTGTGCTCTTTATGGCACATTACTCCCATTAACACCAAATAGTGTTATATGCAATTTATTAAAATACACCTTTATCTTCCATCTAATCTCTTAAAAAGCAAACACATTCATTCTCATTAGTGCAGTATTTGAAATTTCACATAGTGAACACCATTTCTGAGACCAGCAGGATGAGAGTCACATACTGAAACACAGACTGTAAATCAACTATCATCCCATTTTCACACATTTTTAATATTAAAGTTTATTAAACAGAAGTTAAACTGTAAAAAAGTTAAGATGTTAGTTAAAATGAACCAACAGGGAACACAAGCTGTTGATGGATAAACAAAGGTTAAAAAAAAATCTTGTCTTCAATATATTTTTATGTCATGCTCATTCTGAAAACAATCATACCATTGAGCAGCCACCAGCTAAAATTGTCTGGTTTTTTATTAGTATTGCAGCAAGCCAATTATTATTATTATTTTTTTATTTTTTATTTTTTTTTACAGACACTGTTGGTTCAGGTACAGCAGGTTGACTCTGAGGATAATTAGAATCTCTGATTTGGTCTATCTTTGATAATATCTACCACATAGAATTACATCAAACAGCAGAATTCAGAGAGAGGGTTCTCTTCTAACAATAATCTGATTGCTAAATAATCAGAACTTTTTTTGTGTGTTATAGGATGTAGCTGAAGTAGCCTCTAGTAAGGTTTTATGAAGAGTGCTCTTCATCAGCTAAGCCTTAAGTATCTTTCTGCCCAGTGGTTAACTTCTAACAAACTGCCAGCACACAAAATACCAAATCTAAAACTATTTCTAATTTATAGCAAATGTGAATTAGTAAATATGATTGTTTAGAAAATAATTATTTTAGTTAACATAAATTATACTGGATCTTATGAGTAACACTGTATTTTAACTGCAAACTATTTGTCTTAAAATCTGTTTAACAGAGTATTTTACCTACTTTCATACAAACATATTTAAACAAAATAACCCTTTTCTTCAACGTAACAGAGAAAAATATTTTTAAAACAATCTGCTTGTTTATTCTAGAAACATTTCACTTGAAAATTTCCCCCTATTTATTAAAAAAAAATTAACTTTTCTCACCATAGTCAGTGACTGATTTTGGAGCACGCTGTTCTGTTTCTGTATTACGTTTCTTATTCTTGGATTTCCACGCATGATATACTTTTAGTCGTCTGTGAAACTCTTCTCTGCAAGCTGCCAGTAGTTCAATATCTGTCTCAAAAAAAGGAGGGAAGGAAAGAGTGCGAAAAATCAGAAGAGAAACCTATTTATAAAACATGTTTATATATATTTGTTACATAATTTTAGAACAAGTTATAAGATAACTATTTCTTACAATGCAAGTAAATTGAAAGCTTGTAACAAGTGAGAGACTTCTAAACTGAGCAAAGCAGGCAGATAGGTGCTATGAAGGCTTATTATAGGAATGGCAGGCGACTGGCTTCACATCACACTTGAAGGTGGATCCAAATGCTGGTGAGACCCTCTTCACTGTCCCTCACTCACATATTCTTCTCCTTACTACAGTCCCGGGGCAAGATCATCACCTATGCTCTGGCCTCTTTGTGATGTGTAAAAAGGCCCAGTGGCATAAAGGGAACCTCAAAAACCCATATTCAGCCCTAGAGGATTCCCCTGGTGCAGGATCTGTGGAAGACAGATCTGTGTAAGATTGACTCCCAAGGACTCCCTTGCAAGTACTGGCAGAGAAGGTATACTGGGATGGGGGATTGGCGAGAAGAGAAATGTGAAGATTCACAGTTGGATTTTCTAGTGTTTTTCCCCAGTACCCACAGGGTCCAAGCATCCTTCTCCCTCTCCTCACATTGGAAGCCAAATGTAGTGGACAGCCTGGAAGGTTCTTTTTTCTCTTTCTGAATGTAGGGATGGCTATCAGGTTTGGAACAGTCATCTAGAGTTATGATTTGCGATTTGCTCTCTTTGCCTATTCATTACTGCAAGCAGAACCTGCTTCATTCCTGCCAACCAAACTGGGAACTAGCTTACTGAGAAAACACTTGGCAGCCTGGCTACAAAATCAAGGCCTGGACTTTTTCCTTTAAACAGAGATGGTTACTTTTGCCAAATTATCTGGCCCATACAGACAATAGATGGTAGAACGATACCAAATGCATGTCACTGGTCCCCTAACAGGGTTTGAACTGGGTTCACCAGAGGTGAACAGCTAAATGCATTAACCCACTGCACAACCTAGTCTGCAGCCAACAGTGTCTTAATCCAAAAACTCAAAAATTATAAAAGAAAAGTCTCAAATTTAAGGCTAATTAAGTGGTTTAAAAACAAATCTTGAGAATGGATAGATTTCTATCCAAGATATCCGAGGAGGAATGAGGCATTTGACAGATGCATCCATTAGCCTCAAGATAGATACCTTTTCCAAGAAATAAACCAATTGTTCATAATTGACACAGGATAACAATTATAATACAATATAAAGGAATATTACAGATTAGTTCATCTCTTCATGATACTGAAAATATCTAAGTATTATATAGATAAGCTGTAGCTTCTGAGAAAATTAAGCAAAGCTACAACGTCAATACATCTAGATTGTGTTTTAAATTAACTCATGTTCTTTTAAATTTTGGTGAATGCAAGAAATTACAGTTATAAATTTAGAAGATCTTACAAATTCAGGGAAAAACCACATCCATTTAGTTCCATTTCACTGAAATATAAATTATTTTTAAACAAGGTCATTAAGAATTTATAGCAAGTTACTCCTGACTGAAGTGTATTAATTTCACAGATACAACTCTGAGTATAACAGGTAACATAATAGCATCGGTTTCCTCAATGGGAAATGGTATATTTGCTCTCTCCTTTGGAGAAAAGTCATTCAACTTAGTTTTTCATCTGAGACTAAATTAGTGAGTTCAAAATTCTGTCCTGGTGAAAGAGGCAATAGATTTATTGTACTATTGGAACACAATCCCCGTCAGTCCCAAGCAAACACAAACTTACCACAGGAAGTATTGATTGTGTCACGAAGTTCTGCATATTTCCACTTACTAAGATCATGTTTCTTAGTGCCAGCCGCAGCTTTTGTGGCTTGAACTGCAGGGCCCCTACGGTTATAACAAACAATAATAATGTTCAAGGTACAGAAAGGAAAGGAGAGTGAGAAGAAATATTAGTGACAACAGGACAAGCAGATTGCACAATCATCTCTGTGCAATACACATTGCATTGAAAAACATTATATGTTCTAAGAGCTGAATGCAAAAAAAGTAAGATAAAATTCACCTCATAACTTTCAGCAGCATAATATATCTTTATTGTAACATATTGGCATTATTAAAAAGAAACTCCAGAAGGAGTATAATATAGATCCAAAATCTGACTTACCTCAAATATATTTTATATGTACTTTGTATTCTAAATGTTCAATTTGCTCATTGCAAAGAGATTAAAACAAACTAGAAGTTAATATACAAGTGTGGCTTGCTGAAAATAAGGCTGTGTGTATTCCTTTTTGCAGCACCCTTTAAATATAAACTGTTCCCAGAACTACGTATAGTCCTGAGGACATCAATAATAGTGATGCAGAATAAAGGCAGTAAACAACAGCAGCAAAGTAAATTTTAAGTTCCACTAGCAAAACAAGGGTGGGGGGAAAATGACTAAGTAGAAAAGAACAAAACTGAAAAGGAAACACCTTACACTGTCTAAAAGCACGGAGAATAAATGAAATAATCAACGTTTCATCCAAATCTCCCAATGTAATAGAAGAAATAAAATTAATTCTACATTAAAGTAACTTTAAAGTGTCTCACTTATTCACAAAAAATCAGCATTAAGTAACATGGGTGGAAAGGTCACGAGACACCACCATTCACAGAACAAAGGCCGAAAGACATAGGGCCCCATGGTAATCCATGAAAGTTAGGATTAACTACATCAGGCCCAGACAAGTGATAAAATGACCAAAGTTGATACTTTGATGATTTTTCAAATATATCAGTCTTCACTGTAATACATTCAAGGCAGACAAATTTAACATCCTATAATATATTACTGTCATTTGATTTTGAGCAGCAATGATACAGATAATATTTTTCATTCTTAGCGGTTATGACTGGAGGGATGAAAGCACACTCTTCATATCTGTGATTATCCTGTGCATTAACAGTACACAAATTGGGATTGTAGCATCACCATCCCTAATGAATGACAGAACATGCTGAATTGTTGAGTGATTTGAGATAACAGATGCATGATTTTGGTAGCCTCTATTAAAGCCCAGGAATAAGCTAGGAAGCAGACTAAATTATTTTTCAAACTCTGGGAGAATCCATTCTCCAGGCCAGGGGTTGAGGTTACCAGGGTAGCACATCACTAGATATAGGCATATCACTAAAAAAATGAACAGAAGAAACAATATACCATGTCCTTCTTGTGCAACTGCGTATTGTAGTCATGTCTTTGCATGAGTACAATATCATTAGAATGCAACTAGGTATATCTATGACTGAGAAATTTTACTTTTCTGTAAAGTTTAGAGTGATATTTAGATATAGTCTCATTTTGTTTTTAATGAAGTTACACAAGTTCTCCAAACTCCTAGAGCTTATTACACTTCTAAAAGTATCAATATATAATAATATAATATATTATGTAATTTATACAAAAATATATTAATCATGGAATCTTATTCAGATATAGGTGTTTGGAGAACTTGTATAACTTCACACACTCACACTCACTCTATACACATTCTATTCAGGATTTCTCCAGTGACATGGGGCATCTAGTTGTGACTGTCCTTGGAGCAGACAGAATACTACACAAATAATCATCAAGGGGATAGAATAAAACCAGCTAATTTATGCAAACATCCTTGTTAACAGCAACTCAAACAACTCCTCACATGTAAATGATTAACTCTGCAATTCCTTACTCTTTAAAGCAATCTCAAACCTGCTATGACCATTCTCATGTGCACCTAGTGACGTGTAATAACAGCCCTTGATTAGAAATATATTACTATACATGTGACAAGTTTCATACAGAAGTTATATTCTTCATCCACTAAACAATAAAGTTGAAATACATTTTGAAGACATTTCCTGCCCCCTCTATAATTACAAGACATGAATATAAAATGTATATAAAAATCTCACCTGTGAAACAAGTTACCAAATGGAATACTACTTTTTAAAATATATTTTAATACACTGTTAAAATATCAGTCCTATGCCATTAAAGGATTGTTGTGAAATGTAATTTCCGCTACATGTCTAACCTTCCTGAACCATTAATTTGACAAATCCTGAGGATTTTCCTTATTTAGCAACATCATCCATCACTCCTAAGAATCCCCTACAGAGTTTAGATCAACAGAAGTAGGCCAAAAGGTCTCTGGTCAAACAAGTAATCTTTATGAATGTTAATCCAATTGAATGGCTTAGCCTTTCCATTACAGTACTACTCTGTGCTGAGATCACCACTTTGTTTTTTTTCTACGTGGATTTAAATAGCCGGGAAGTAACAAGAACAAGAACACCTCACTTCATACTGGTTTCAGAGTGGTAGCCGTTTAGTCTGTAGAAGCCCTCTACAACAACATCCCATACAAAGATAGGCTACAAGCCGTCAGGAACAGTATCCCCGAAAATGTCATGGCAAACCTGGTCTCTGAACTTTGTGACTTTGTCCTCACCCACAACTATTTCACATTTGGGGACAATGTATACCTTCAAGTCAGCGGCACTGCTATGGGTACCCGCGTGGCCCCACAGTATACCAACATTTTTATGGCTGACTCAGAACAACGCTTCCTCAGCTCTCGTCCCCTAATGCCCCTACTCTACTTGTGCTACACTGATGACATCATCATCTGGACCCATGGAAAAGAAGCCCTTGAGAAATTCCACCATGATTTCAACAATTTCCGTCCCACCATCAACCTCAGCCTGGACCAGTCCACACAAGCGATCCACTTCTTAGACACTACAGTGCTAATAAGGAATGGTCACATAAACACCACCCTATACCAGGAAACCTACTGACCGCTGTACTTACCTACATGACTCCAGCTTTCATCCAGACCACATCACACAACCCATTGTCTACAGCCAAGCTGTAAGATACAACCACATTTGCTCCAATCCCTCAGACAGAGACAAACTCCTACAAGATCTCTATCAAGCATTCTTAAAACTTCAATACCCACCTGCTGAAGTGAAGAAACAGAAGCATACCCAGAAGTCATCTACTCCAGAACAGGCCCAACAAAGAAAGTAACAGAATGCCACTAGCCATCACCTTCACCCCAACTAAAACCTCTCCAGCGCATCAAGGATCTACAACCTATCCTGAAGGACGATCCCTCACTCTCGCAGATCTTGGGAGACAGGCCAGTCCTCGCTTACAGATAGCTCCCCAACCTGAAGCAAATACTCACCAGCAACCACACACACCGCACAACAAAAACGCTAACCCAGGAACCTATCCTTGCAACAAAGCCTGTTGCCAACTCTGTCCTCATATCTATTCAAGGGACAACATCATAGGACCTAATCGCATCAGCCACATCATCAGAGGCTCGTTCACCTGCACTTCTACCAATGTGATATATGCCATCATGTGCCAGCAATGCCCCTCTGCCATTGGCCAAACCGGACAGTCTTTAAGCAAAAGAATAAATGGACACAAATCAGACGTCAAGAATTATAACATTCAAAAACCAGTCAGAGAACATTTCAACCTCCCTGGTCACTCAATTACAGACCTAAAAGTTGCAATTCTCCAACAAAAAATCTTCAAAAAGAGACTCCAATGAGAAACTGCTGAATTGGAATTAATTTGCAAACCGGACACCATTAAATTAGGCTTGAATAAAGACTGGGAGTGGATGGGTCAATACACAAAGTAAAAACTAGTTCCCCATGCTAATTTCCCACCTACTGTTACTCACACCTTCTTGTCAACTGTTTGAAACGGGCCATCCTGATTATCACTACAAAAGTTTTTTTTCTTCTGCTAATAGCCCACTTTAATTGATTAGTCTCGTTAGAGTTGGTATGGCAACACCCATTTTTTCATGTTCTCTGTGTATGTATATATATTCCTACTGTATTTTCCAGTGCATGCATCCGATGAAGTGGGTTTTAGCTCACGAAAGCTTATGCCCAAATAAATTTGTTAGTCTCTAAGGTGCCACAAGTACTCCTCATTCTTTCCTTCATACTGTTCGTCTTCATTACTCTATACAACAATCCAAATAATGGGTATGGATCAAAACCAGAATGGCAGTTGATTATTAATATTCTGTCTCAAAAAGGAGGTTACTTACCCGTAACCAGAGGTTCTTCGAGATGGCTGGTCCCTATCTGTATTCCACATGGGTTATACACACGTGCACCATGTGCCCGAGTCCAGAATTTCTTTCAAGCAGCATCTGTTGGCCCACATGTGTGCTGTAGCTCTCCTTGTGCTCCCTAATGGAGGACATAATGGGCTGATGTCTGTCCAGTTTTCCACTCTTACCACAGTGTAGCCAATCCACAGCTGTGGGGACAGAGGGTGGGTAGTGGAAATCAGAGATTAACAAGCAGTAAGCAAACCGATAGTGGGTGCGAGGACGCAGAAGTGATAGCTGTCTGTAGTACTGCTGTCTCCACAGCTGTATGCGCAGTTCATAACTGCACCAGGGGATAATATCTTGTGAAGGTATGCAAAGAGTTGCAAGAAGCTGTCCTACATATATCTCTAGTACGGGTACGTCTCTCAGAGATGCAGCTGAAGTAGCTTGTCCCCAGTAGAATGAGTTTTTACCTCTTGGGGGACTGTGTGTGGGGGGGAATAGGAGGAGAATGCCAGCTAGTTGGTAACAAAAGGATAATACAACCCAAGATCCATTTCAAAAGTCTCTAAGCCAATATACGTTGATTTCTTGATTGCTCTGCAATGGAAACAAATAGTTTTGTCTTTGACAAACTGGGTAAAGTGGCCTCCAAACAATCTGAACAGGGGAATGAAGAGGTATCAATAAAGGGACATGGGTCTTGAGAGTCTCATCAAAAGAAACGCTTCACCTAGGGATTAGACTACAAATTGGCAGTGGATGTTGCAGAGGCTAGGTTCCTAGGTCTATACACCCTCTGTCTCTTGCGTGGTGGCTCCTGAGGAAGTTGATGATAAAAGGCCTCAGGAATTGGTCTTGCCCTATACCACTGTCTATGAGGCTTCCTTCTGTGGTATAAATGCCCAGCAAGTGAAGCGCTGTTTGAGTCTTTGAGGGAGTGGAGACACTTGTCCATTTTCTTGTGGAATAGGTTGATAGTATCAAAGGAAAGATCTTGGACAGTACTCCTCAGCTCTCTAGGGAAACCTGAGGATTGCAGCCACAAGTCTCTCCTCATGACAATGGCCATAGCATTCCCCTCAATGTGGTATCTGCTACATTCACCGTGAGTTGGAGACAAGTTTTGCCACCAATTTGCCCTCATCTACTAAGGCCTGGAAGTGGGATCCATACTCCACAGGGATCTTGTCCTTAACCTCTAGAAATCTAGTATAATTGATAAAATTATATTTGGACATAGACTCATAGACTTTAAGGTCAGAAGGGACCATTATGGTCATCTAGTCTGACCTCCCGCATGATGCAGGCCACAAAAGCTGGCCCACCCAATTTCCCTTATCTCAGCTGTTGAAGTCTCCAGATCGTGATTTAAAGACTTCAAGTCGCAGAGAATCCTCCAGCTTGAGACCCCTGCCCTATGCTGCGGAGGAAGGCAAAAAACCTCCAGGGCCTCTGCCAATTTACCCTGGAGGAAAATTCCTTCCCGACCCCAAATATGGCGATCAGTAGAACCCCGAGCATACACGCAAGATTCTCCAGCCGGACCCACATTTTACCAGCGATGGCACGTTATTGCCTAATTGACTAAAATCACGTTATCCCATCAAACCATTCCCTCCATAAACTTATCTAGCCTAATCTTGAAGCCAGAGAGGTCTTTTGCCCCCACCGTTTCCCTCGGAAGGCTGTTCCAGAATTTCACCCCTCTGACGGTTAGAAACCTTCGTCTAATTGGGTTACTACATGAGGGCCTAATAATTATCGAGATCCTGACCTGGAGGGAGGTGGAAGAGAAGACCTTTCTTCCCAGCAGGTCGCATCTCGTGTTCCTTATCAGAGGGAGTATCCTTTGGGTGCTGTTGCTTGGACCGCTCTGTACCCATATTCACCACCAGCTAGTTTGGCAGAAGGTGAAAGAACAAGAACTCTCCCCACTTGGATGGGACATTGCAATGCTTCTTGGCCCTCTTAGGGGTGGGAGCACAAGAAGCAGAGGTCGGCCAAACGGCCTTTGCTGGGTTCATGATAATTTCATTGACAGGGAGGGCCATTCTACAGGGACTGGAGGGCTGCAGAATGTTTAGTAAGCTGTGCTGAGGCTCCTGAATTTCCTCCAGCTGGATCTGTAGCACTGCTGCTACCCTATGCATGAGCTCTTGGTACTGTTTAAAGTCACCCAGTGGAGACAAAGAAGATGGAGTGGTCACCTCATCCAGTGACACTGAACAGATTGCTCCCAGAACCATCGGATCTGGCTTGCCATCCACCTTTGAATATGCCAGTGGGGCCAGTTGTGTAGGGCCAGGCAATGGCAAGTAGGACTCATGCATAGATTCTATGTCTGGGGGTAGGACTCCCACGATCCGCAGTAATGCCAATAAGATGGATCCATTGGAGGAGGGGGACCCCATGGCACAGGCTAGCCCATGTCGGTTTCGAGGCCTGAATCCTGACCTTCTAGGACCCATGTCCAAGGCCACCTCTCCTCCATGCCGCAGAGACTCCTGATGGCTGTGCTTGTAGGCTGGCAGATAGAATCATCACCCCATTCCATCTCCTTGTGATAGATTCCTCCTCCCGTGTAACAACATCTTGGAATATGGATGGACCCAATGGAAATGGTGAATGTGGATGGGGGGAGACCAAAAGATGTCCTCCAGGGAGACACACATCTCTGACCATCCTGGAGTATGAGGAGAGTCCATTGGGGGAGCCGGAGCCTCTCTGGTCAGATGGTGGTTGGCTTCCTCCAGAGCAGCATTGCTATTGGTAATGCCTGTTTCCCAAAGTGGATCGAAGCACCAGGCGCTACCATGTCTCTTCACCACTAGAGCCAGTGTTGGAAGCATGGATCCGTACCCTTGTGTGCCCTCTTGACTTGTCAAGAAGATTTAGGGGGCTGAAGAGCTGAGCACCCATGCGTGTTGGCTCTCCTGAGGGGGTCAGGGAGGGATCCCTTCTTTTCAGACATAAATGACTGTCCTTATGTCTATGAGAATGCCCCTTACTCTCCAATGAAGCCTTCTCTTTAGGCTTAACAGACTTAGCATCTGTTCCTCAACCCATGCTCAGAGGTACACTGCCTGCTTGTTGAGGCTGATGTAGAGTGTGTGTGGGGGGGGTCCACAGCCCAGCTCTGATTGGGGCTTCATTGCCTTCTCCATGAGGTGTTTTCTGACTCTCAGTTCCTGACCCTCACAAGTTCTATGGGGGAAAGTGTGGCAGATGCTGCACTTAGCAGAAATGTGAGCCTCACCCAGGCAGTAGAAGCAGCGTTGATGTTCTTTGCTCACAGTAAAGGAGTGAGGGCAGGAAACAGTTTTTAAACCCCCAGAACCTGAGCAGAATCCCAGAGTTCTTGGGGGAAAAGTTCCCGGGCAGGAGGAAATAATGCTATCTAATTATCTATGCTATACTATAAAAACTACAAAAATTAACTATACATAATTCATAAAGGAATGACACGGTAAAAAGGAGCTGAGGACACCAAATATTACGACACACACCACATGGCGGTAAGAAGGATCTGGAGAGGCATCGGTCTGCACCGTCCTTTCTGCTATCAGTTGTGAGCACAAAGATCTACGAAGCATGTGCAAGCCAATGGACACTGCTGATAAGAAATTTCAAACTCAAGCGCATATCTCATGTGTGGAATAAATATAGGTACCACCACTCAAAGAAGAATCAAAAGTTTCTAAACAATTGAATTTAACAAGTTACCAGTCACACTAGTGTACACTAAAAATGCTAGTTTTTAAGTTCTGTCCATAACCTATGCTCCTACCACTTTTGGCCAAAATTCTTGTGATACTTTCTGGAAGCTAAGGGCATGTTAACTCCAGTGACTCAGCTCAGTTCTTACGTAGTTACTCTACAACCCCCCTACCTATGTTCCCCCAGCAATTTCAATTGGATGTGCTAATCTTCCTTTTCTCCTGTTCAAAAATACTGCAAGTAATGTTTTTGTGCAAACGTAGGCATCTGCTGTGTTCAATACTATCAGCACTACAATTAAGAAATGCCACAACAAACATACTAATATCTTAAGATCATATACACACACAGCATAATATCTTGTTTTCTGAAGGGTTTATTTTTAAAAATGTAAAAGAAAGTAAGATTTCATGTGAACTTCAGACAGCATGTCATAAGACTGCTTTTTATCTTTGAGGTTACCAAAGACACCTTTTAATTAGTAACTCAATAAAACAGAATTTTATTTAGAATATAAAACTGCTACATTATTATACCAAGATTGCTGAACAGACACCATCTGGCATTTTGTGTTTCAATGCTTCAGAGAGTACTACTTCTAGGGTTGTAACAACAAAGTAAACCTCAAATTTTCATTTTGTTTGAAATGGAATTATGTCTGGATTTAATTTCTTATTAAAAAGCTCCTTACAGTTACATAAACATAACACTTTTTATGTCCTTATTAACACCATCCTGAACTTGTAAGCATGCTGCCTGAAAATTTTGGAAACTTGTCAGTGTCATCTCAGATACAGTGGGAAAAGAATGCTCTTCGAAGCTTTTCCTTATCTATTGAAATTATTCAAAAAGAAACTTTAAGGTGCAATTTACTGATAATTTCCTTCTGAGCATGTTTATGCAATCAAATAAATGTCATGGCAAAATAATTAAAGAAAGAAATCAGATAATGATTTTGAATAGGAAGCATACTGATACAGCAATTTCATCCAAAAGAAAAGGTTGATTTATTTCATTGAGCAATTAAATATGGAATTCCATTATTTTATATGCATCAGCCCATTTCAGTTTATGATTTCATTTAATTGAGTGATTAAATTAATTTTGGAAGGTCTATTCACCCACCTAGACAAAACGTCTGACATTTCTTTGGCCATTTGTTCCCTATAAGAAAAGTGATAAGTGTACATAAGAAAAGTGTTATATTCAAATATTAATAAGGTCTATTATGACTGATGGTATATTATGTCTAAGATAAAACTAATGCAGGAGCAATAAACTTCAACCAAATGCTGATTTATATTGTGGTAACTCCTTATGAATGTTTGCCTCTTTCATACGGGCTAGTTACAATTCATGGTATTTGCTAGATACTGAATTTACGTACACTATTTATAATTAACTTTAAATATTTCTTAGACATAAGCAAAGTATAAGGTATGAAGTATTAAAATTGATTATCAAAGGTCAATGTATAACGATGCTTACTATTATAGGGGAACAGATTAATAAAAGGACAATACAAGAATTTCTTCTAATAAGAGAATTATTATTACTATAAGAAGAAAGTAGTGCAAAACTCAGTGAAAATAAAGTGTCATACGCAGTCATTTGAGGCCTTGTTCCATTGACTCTGCAAACAGAAGATATTTAGGTTAGTCTGGCAATTTCCTAATTAGCTTTCTAATAATCTGAAATGTCAAGAGGACAATCAGTTCAACTTTTCCGTCTCTCCCATCCTCCTCCTATTTATCATCTAATGATTTTATTTGATCTAGGCTCAGCATTATGAAGCCTTGTTTTCTTCTTTAATCTTCTGAATTTATTGATCAGAGTAACACAATTAGAAAAGTGAAATTAAAATAATTCAGAAAAGTCTTACTCCGTTAATAGATGGCCTTCCACTTCACCATGGCTATGTTTATTACTCTCATATTATAACCTGGAATTTACTTATTTGTACATAATCAATTGATTTAATCTTTCTGAATCAAAGACTCAGACATGCAACAGACGTACTTATGTGTGGTTGAGCATACTACAAAAAAATGGAACAATTCTTACTTAGCAAATACTGGAACAGGCTGAATAATTTCAGCATCCAATCTGTGAAAAGATACTTCGAATTGAAATGGTTTGTCCTGAACGTACACAAATACAGTATCAACAGTAATCCATATTGCATACATCCTTATGTACAGTACACAGTTATTAAATACATACATATTTAGATTTCTCTCCAGAAATATGTAATGACATAACATATTCAAAAGTGACAGACTAACCAGAATTTAAAAGGGTTAGTGTGTATTTTGGTACCAGATACTGTAACCAAGCCAGTAAATGTCAACAGAATAAGAAAACAAAATGGCAATGTATTCATTTACTTAACCTGAAAAGTCAAACAGATCAAACACAGAGTGTGTGTACACTGAATAAAAATTGAGGCCGTTTACAGAAGGACATGCTACAAATTGATTTTTTTTTTTTTTTTTTTTTAAACAGCACGATAGGGCAGAACATATTAGTCACTACTTAGGCTCCTTAGAAACACAACGTACTATTGTATCGTCACATGGCTTTTGGCTAAAAAAAGCTCCTGGTGCTGATTATTAAGTACTCCAAAAGGAGTATAGTTCGATGAAAAAAAATACTTTTGCTCATGTCATGATGCAAAAGTAAAACCAAAATTGTTTGTGGAAATGCTATGCGAAGCACTGGAGAGGCAGTGAGGCTGAATGAGTTCAGTATACTTAGTATGTTATGCAACAATAAGGTTGAACATGGGGTGAGGGAGGGGAGAAAAGGAAATGCAAATTATAGAAATGTAAGCCTGTGCATGTTGGAATGTGCAGTTCATCTGCCCCCAAGGAAGACACAAAGGTATTAGAGTCTGCTAAAATTTTAACAAATACCCACTGAGCAAGAATGTTCAGCAGTGATTTTTCAATACTTATGTTTAGCTCCCGCCTCTCCAAATCTCACAAAGGAATTTCTTCTCTTTGAGCACTATTTCCATGCAATGCTTCAAATTTCAAACCTCTCCCTGCAGCCAACGGGACTAAAATGTTTTGTGAGGATTTGTGTAAAAGGGATTTAAAAAAAAAAAATTGCTGAACTCAATAGTTTTATCCAGGGGTTCTCAAACTGTGGGTCACGACCCCACTTTAATGGGGTCGCCAAGGCTGGTGTTAGACTTGCTGTGGCCCAGGGCTGAAGCCCAAGCCTAAGCCGCACCGCCCAGGGATGAAGCCAAAGCCCGAGCCCCACCATCCAGGGCTAAGGTTATATGCCCCCTGCCCGGGGTGGTGGAGCTTGGGTGGCAGGGGTCGGGTGGACTCAGTCTTCGTTCCCCACTCCTGGGGTAGTGTAGTCATTTTTATTTTCAGAAGGGGGTCACAGTGCAATGAAGTTTGAGAACCGCTGATTCAGACTGAACAAAATTTCCACAACTTTTCTAAGCAAGTTTTCTAGGTGCCTACACACAAGCAGTTAGAAATTAAATTAGTTTGCTTATGCCTCAAAGAAAGTTATAACCAAGGCAAACTGGTTTCTTCACTGCATTTACAGTTGAAATAATCTAAGAAAGGATTTACACTGATGGAAAACAAGATGGACATTATTTTAAAGTGTTGTCAAAGTTTCCCAGTCAAAAGTATTTTGGTATTTAAGTGTGGTTGCACTCACTTATTCCCTGAGCCTAGATAGTTTTGCTGTGTTCCCAACCCTCACCATGTGTGTGCGCACATGTGCACATGTCCATGCCCATGCACAAAAACAAAAAAAGGGAGGAAGAGACTCAGTTATAGCTCAAAATGGGTAGATTGTTTTTCAGGTGTGTCTAGGATATCCTGAGATCTCTAGTGACAGTATGTTGCCACATTAAGCTGTCCAGATCCTTGTTCTCTTTCCAGTGGTTCAAAACAGAGGATTCCTTCCCCTACCATCTGAATAGATAGAGGAACTGGAGAAGTTATGAGGAAAGGGAAGGTTAAGCATTCTTTTTCTCTACTCATCCTATGTGCTTCAAAGGGCATCCCAGGCAGGGAAGACAGAAGGGCCAGGCATATCCTCTGGCAGCAGGAAAAGTGGGGAAGATCAGAGCTTGAGTGAATCTCTTGCAATGCATTTATACTGCTACACCTCTCCCTGCTCCTCCTCCTCCTCTCCCTCTTACATGTCTTGCAAGAAAGGTTACTTGCCAACCAGTCCCCCTTCCTGGGCTCCAATTTCTGCCTATTTCTTGGCACCAAGGGACATGTCTATCTACTCCCTTTTCAAACTTGAGGGAGGGAAGGTTATGGAACTAATGCCTCTCGTATATCCCACGCCACGTCCCTATTTAATGTAGGGACTTTAAAAATAGAGGGGTTGCTCAGATCCTTACACACACACAGTTTGCCAGAAGCTGGGATTAGGTGACAGGGCATGGATTACTTGATGATACAACCTGTCTGTTCATTCTCTTTGGGGCACCTGCCATTGGCCACTGTCAGAGGACAGGATACTGGGCTTGATGGACCTTTGGTCTGACCCAGTATGGCCATTCCTATGTTCCCTCCAACCCGGCATTTCTAGGTGCCTCTGGTGCAGCTCTACTCCTTCCCCTCAGCTGTTGAAAAGCTTCACTGGCCTTCCTTTCCTGGGAAACATGTCTCTTGCTCTGTCATCTAAAAGCAAATTCTCAAGCAGAGCTCCGGAAGTCCCTAAACCTCCTCAAAACAAATATATGGATATAGAATATCCAATTGGGACCATAATACAATCTAAACCTCATTCTTCACCCTCACAGGTTAAGAGAAAGTCAGGGAAATGGAAGCACTTTAAAGAATAAGATCTATTAGTGATTCAAACCTACAGGAGCTGATCTGTCTGCCACAAACTTGCCCTCATTATTATCATCATGTAGAGCTGCATACCTTAATGTACTCATTTTGCATTCCTACACATGGTTTTGAAAAGTTGCTCTTTGATCTGAGAGACAGATAAAAAAAAAAGCATAGATTGTATAGGAAACTAAAGACAAGGGAGGAAGTGAAAGCTTCCAGAACTCTGTCTGTGTATCACACTTGAATTTCCAACTGCAAGTTACAATGGTTGCTGTTAAAACGTCAACATTTATCAACTGATACCAAACAACAGTGTCTGAGATAACTATTGTATGGTGACTGTTAGTAACTGTTGACTTTTTAGTGGCAACCTCTGCAAGTCAATACAGGTACTCAACAAAAATACATATCATACCATGTATTTTATAACCATATCATCTATATACACACTGAAGTAAAATGCTGTAATAAAGAATGTAAAAGAACAGAAAAGGATTTTCTGGGTTTTTTCTTGAGTTCTTAGAAATTCCTTGTCGTCTGCCAACTTTTCAAGATGCTTCCCTTGTACAAAATAATCACTCTATTCAATCCGTCTTAGAGTGGATTATGGAGGGTTCATTGTTCTTCATTTGACAAGTAAATGGCACTCATTTTTTTAACATTTTATATTTTACTCCTGGGGGAATTCTGTGCCACTGCACAACGCAGAATTTTGCAGAAATTAATGTTGTGTATGCAGAATTTCCTTCCCCCCTCCCCCCACCGCCTTCAAAATGGGCTGCAAAGCTTCTGGTTCCCACTAGACCAGGCAGAGCCCAGCTCTCAAACAGAAAACACTGATCCCGGGAGAGGGAGCTGGAGGGTTCCCTGCAGCTGCAGTTCTCTGCGCACCCTGAAGGAAGGAAGCAGCGGCACACAGGAAACTCCATGCAAGCACAGGACCCAGCATAAGGCTGTTTCACACTCTGGATCCTTGGGTGGAGAGGGGATGCCAGTGTCTGGGCTGGGGAGTCTGCAGTTGGGCTCTGCAGAGAAACAGGAACTGAGTTGTCATAGGGATTTCTTTAACTCTCTACTCCTTGGGGGGGAGGGAAGGGGGGATTTTTTGTGTGTGTCTGTATTGTTAGAGATATCCTTGCTGACAGGTATTTTGAAATAAATTACCAAAAGAATTGAAACTGCAAGATCAAATAGTGCTATTTTTGACAACTAAAATATGCAGAATTTTAAAATATTGTGTGCAGAATTTTTTAAAATTTTGGTGCAGAATTCCCCCAGAAGTAATATTTGTATGTGGATTGGCTGACAGCAGGAGGGTACAAGTTTACCATTGTATTCCTGTATGTATACAGTGAACAGTGATAGAATATTCCAATAGTTTTATATTACTCAGAAAACGCACAGACTGAGCAATCATGGCAACATTTAGTTTTCTGGTACACTGTACATTATGTACAATACTTTTCTGGTTTGTAAAAAGTTTATTTTTTTCATTATGTCATGGTTTCTAAAATAGAATTCTGACTGACAAAGATACAATATTGAACATACAAAACTGCCGAAGCTCTTTTTCTTTAATTCTATCTAAAATATTGGAATGGATTTGTTACTGGAAACGTAAAGGGACCTTCTTGCAAATATAATCCCTCCTGTAACAGCCAAGGTGTCATCTCAGCTACACCAAACTAAACAAGGTTCATTACATTAAAAGATAGCTCCTTGTTTTGTATAAAATTACCATTATCAGTTTAGTGAAGTGTTATGAAAAAGAGTACTTGTATTGTTCTTCTATGAGTAAAATTAAGATCATGGAGATTCTCTAAACTGAATTTTGTAACCACAAGTCACACAAGGAAAAACGCATTCAGCACACACAATGAAGAACAGATGAATAGGGCCAAGTCTCACAGAAAATAAATCAGTTATATGTATGTTAGCTGTCTAAGAAGTTTATTAGTAAATACCCAATGCGGCTGTGTAGTACTTACCCTATAAAATTACATGAAAGACAACATAATATCAACGACAAAGCAAATGCTGTGACATTATCTAAAAAAAAACATTTGGAGGGTCTACATCTTTTAATAGAGTGCCTAAAAAGTCAGTTCATATAGGCTTTTTTTAATCTTGACAGGATTATGCATGCATTTCCAATTCTGTATTTGCCAGTTAAGATACAGAAGAACTCAGGTGATAGAAACTTTGGGACTGTCCAAAGACTGAGGTACCCCTCTCTTGTTCACACATCATACAGATACTCAGCCAGTGCCAAAAGGGGGATTACATATGATTATATGCACATTGCAAACTAATGAAGAGTTTTTAAGCCAAGCAAGCTATTTTTCAACAAATTTGACAGCGTTATTTGGAAAATATAATACTCCAATATATTGGTTTGAAAACCCCATTTTACTTTTATTTCTTAATTAAAAACACAAGATCTCCGTATTTTATAACAATAGGATCTGTAAATGAAAAGTTTTGAAAGTAAAGTAAGAGTACTAAATGACCATACCTTCGCAATCCTAAATCAAGCTGAGCCTCATCACTGATTAGCTCTGCTTCACTCTGTGCAATTCTCATCGCAAGTTCACGGTCACGACGTTCCTGTTCAAGGACTGCCTGTTGTTGGGTCTCTTCTTCACGCTCTCTAGCTAGTTGTACCTCAATTTCAGCCTGCGTAGTATAAACATACGTTTTAAATAAATGCTTTATACTCACCCACCCACCATGAGAAACTACTACAAAGGTAAACAACTAGGTAAGTGATATTACAAAGGTGAATTTTGAAAAAAACCAACAAACTATAAACACATGATTTGCAGAATTAAGCGCATTATTCTGCATGCAAAATTCGCTGATAGTTCAAAGCTGTCACATCACCAGTCTGACTGAAGAGCAAGTTATACTTTCAGCTATAGAAAGGATACCTTCAATGATCAAAGAGGACCCACTGAAACAGCTCGGAAGACTGCTCAAGTGGTAGTTACAGATGATTGGGAAGGAAGAAGGTAATAGCAGGAAGTATTAATGAGGGGAGACAGTGGCAGCAGTAGAAACAGAAAAGACATAGGGATAGTTTTCTGACACATGTAAATCAAGAGATACATTAGAGAGAAATAGTTTCAATATCAGCTTCATTCCCTATGTGGTTTATCAAACCATTTGAGCCCATTAACTTAATTACAGCCTCATAATTCAAAAGATGAGACAATTATTCCATCTATAAAACACATCAAGGTCTCCTCACAATTCTGTTAGGCACGAGAGTCAGGCAAGAAGAGTTTATGGAGTCAAAGCTCAGATGCTGTGTAGTACTATAGGTAACATTCCTGAATTTATCTATTTAGAGTATTCCGTAAGACTCTGGCAATGAATACTGTTTTTACTAATTCATTTACAAATATGTTTGTAAATATGTTCCTGCATGTTTGTTTATGGCCCATCAGGGAAGGGATCAGGAAAATTACTGTAAATCTCTAAGGGCCTGATTCTGCCTGATTCTGAAGTCAATGGCAAAACTCTACCAATTTAAATGTAAAGGTACGGGAACAGTTTGTTCTTTCTCACAAGTCCATTTTTAACCACTGGGGTCATGCGTGCATATCCAATGCAATCTGAGCATGTTACCCAAGTGAGCAAAGTTCCATGACCCAACTTTCATCAGTTCCTCTCCTCCAGTCAAAAATCTAGACTAAGACTTCAAAGAGATGGTGATGGAGGGCAAGTCCAGCGATGCAGTCAAATAACATCCTTAACTGCTAAGTAGTCATCCTTTCTCCTGCAGAGACTACCCTCTGTAGAGTCCTACATTAGATTAGCTAGTAGTAGCAATAAACAGAAGGAGAAATGAGTAATTAATTTTACATAGACCAAAGAAATGCCCTCCTGAATTGGGCATCTGTGCTAGACCCAGAACAGAGAGATTGGAGCTGAGTAGAAGTGTAAGACGTACTTCACATTGCAGACCTACAAATTTCAGACCCAGAAATACAACATATGCAAGCCACAAAGACAATCATAGTGCTAGCTGATCAATTCTTAAATCCTTCTAGCAGTAGGACACTTGCTTCCTCAATGGATACAATTTAATCCATTTAAACTATCTCTGAACAGAAATTATTTATCCCTTGACTTTGAGCTTCTGGTATAATCTTGAAAAAAGGGCTTGGATTCAACCAAATAGCAACTAATAGGTCTTTATGCAGTCTGGCAGTATTTATTATTTTGATAGAGACACTGGTCCCAGCACAATCAGTTAACGTTGAGCTCCTTTTTACAATTCAAGCAGAGATTCAGCCTCTTTGTTATGTGTGTCATGCTAGTTCCACACTTTTGTTTACGACTACTATGTGGGCCAAGGTGAATGAAGGGGAGGAGTAAACAGGAGCAAAGGAGGGTCAGGGTACTGTGGGGGGTGGGGGTGGAGAGGAGCATGAAAGGCAGGTAGAGCAAGGATGGCAGCACAGGGATAGCAAGTTAGAAGTGAGGGAAGAGTTTGGAAGAAATCATAGTAGACAAAGTTTAAAGCACTCTGCTGACATTACTGGGCCTCTTCCTGCAACCTCAGTACTGCTGCAAATGCACCCAGCTCCTGCCAGGACAGAGACAATATGCTCTTGGTGGCTACCTTCCCAGCCGGCAGCTCCCAAGGTTTCAGAAAAAAAGAACAAAAAGGTAATTTTCTGATTCAGAGAATTCTAACATCACCCTGGGAAAGAATTTTAAATAGTAAAAAAGCCTAGATTATCAGTGTTGATAAATGTAAAGTAATGCAGACTGGAAAACATAATCCCAACTATACATAGAAAATGATGGGGTCTAAATTAGCTGTAACCACTTAAGAAAAATCTTGGAGTCATCGTGGATAGTTCTCTGAAAACATCCCCTCAATGTAGTCAAAAAAGCTAACAATGTTGGGAATCATTAGGAAAGGAATACATAAGAAGACAGAAAATATCATATTGCCTCTATATAAATCCATGGTATGCCCACATCTTGAATACTGCGTGGAGATGTGGTTGCCCTGTCTCAAAACATATATTGGAATTGGAAAAAGGGCAAGAAAAATGATTAGGGTATGGAAAAGCTTCCATCTGAGGAGAGATTAATAAAACTGGGACTCCTCAGCTTGGAAAAGAGACGACTAAGGGGGGATATGATAGAGGTCTATAAAATAATGACTGGTGTGGAGAAAGTAAAGAAGTGTTATTTACCCCTTCTCATAACATAAGAACTAGGGGTCACCAAATGAAATTTACATGCAGCAGGTTTAAAACAAACAAAAGGATGTATTTCTTAACACAATGTACAGTCAATCTGTGGAACTCTTTGTCAAAGGATGTTGCGAAGGCCAAGAATATAACAGGGTTCAAAAAAGAACTAGATAAATCCATGGAGGATAGGTCCATCAATGGCTATAAGCCTCTCTTTGCCAGAAGCTGGATCACTTGATGATTACCTGTTCTGTTCATTCCCTCTGAAACACCTGGTGGCATTGGCCACTGTTGGAAGACAGATATTGGGCTGGATAGACCTTTGGTCTGACCCAGTATGGCCATTCTTATGTTCTTAATTTGGGATGAGAAAAACATCACTGTCTTCATGAATCTAGGAGGATGGAGTTGGATCTGGATTGCATCTATCCATCTGGATGATATATTTGCAACTAAAAGATGTCTTCCAAGAGAGTTTTGTTCCCCTTGATAGCTGTAAGCATCCTGGAACTCTCTAGGTTTGTGTTAGGATTGCTATCTGCATTGATATAGCCTGATTGTAGCTGTGATATGGCTTTTAGTAGTGCAAATCTGATGCCCTCTCTGTACAAAACTGCAAAAGCCTCAAAGACTGAAACATGATTTTGGGAATGAGCTTTAAAAAAAAAAATTTTTTTTAAAGTCTAGACTATTGAAAGGCAAAGGCCAGCACCTTCACTTGGGGTACGTCTACACTTACCGGAGGGTCCGGCAGCAGGCGATCGATGTTCTGGGATCGATTTATCGCGTCTGGTTTAGACGCGATAAATCGATCCCGAAAGTGCTCGCTGTCGACGCCGGTGCTCCAGCTCGGCGAGAGGAGTACGCGGCATCGACGGGGGAGCCTTCCTGCCCCGCGGTAAGTCTGGACCCGCGGTAAGTTCGGACTAAGGTACTTTGAATTCAGCTACGTTATTAACGTAGCTGAATTTGCGTACCTTAGTCCGAAGTAGGGGGGTAGTGTGGACCAGGCTTTTGACGTCCTCAGAGAGACCAGATATTTTTAGTCCTAGCCGTTACTTGTTCTTAACACTGACCGCTGAAGCAATGGATTTGAAATTTATAACTATTGTTTATAACTATTTAAGAGAATGTTTATAAGTAGAGACTGATAAGATGCCAAGAAACATTAGAAAGAATTGTTCTGTAACCTGCCGTCAATAGTGAGAAAAAAAAACATGCTTTCTACGTGGAACAAATAGAACAGTGATCCATGGTTGGGGTGTATGTGAGACTTCAATATTTAACACATTGAAATGGTTCTAGGATTCAGGAAAGTATAAGAAGTGACTGAGACAGCTTCCTGAAGAACTCCAAAATTAACAAAGGAATTTGCATGCATTACATGTTCTTCGTTTGATTAACAGTCTGTTATGAACAGCGGGAAAGCAAAGGTGGGTGGGAAGATAGATGGGATTGTGATATCAATGGCAATTCTGTCAATCATTCTACAGTAGGCTTGCTCTTTTACAAGCTTGTTTTACTGTAAAAATTGTTCTGGGATTTACTTCTAAATTACAAAAACTCTAAATATTCATTTATATCAACAGCACTATGCTTATATACAGAAATAAGTACACCTCTACCCCGATATAATGCTGTCCTCGGGGGCCAAAAAAACTTACCACGTTATAGGTGAAACCGTGTTATATTGAACTTGCTTTGATCCGCCGGGGCGCGGAACCCCGCCCCCCCCCGGAGCGCTGCTTTACCACAGTATATCCGAATTCGTGTTATATCGTGGGTAGAGGTGTATAATGTCAAAGCAAAAAAATCCAGTCTCCAACTAGCAAGAAATATTATATTTTACAATTCTTATTTAACTGTAGGGCAATTTAACAAAGCTATGGCATAAGACTTTTAAATTAAGATATTTTTATTTTTTAAAACAATTTGAAGTCAAATGTCACAGCTGTAAATAATAGACTTCTCATTACTTCCCTGTAGCAAAGTGTTATTTCCCAGCTGGGATTTATTTTTCCTTCTTCAACTACTGTATATAGCTACTTCAATGCACAAAATTATCTTAATGCCACATTAGATCAATATTTTAAAATTAAAGCCATGATATTCAGAGTTAAAATTTACAAAATAACTTTAATTTAACCAGTTACATATCATGGATTGCAACAGTGTTTTTTTTATTACATGATTATATTTCATTGAACTGTGACACTTATGTGGTAAGTATATCAGAACCTCACTAAATCTCACATTGGAACCCACCATATAGAGAACACATTAAGAAAGGGGAAAAAAAGGGGGTGGGGGCCTAAGTCTAACCTCACTTCACAGATAAGATTTAGTAGCACTGTGGTGTGGTTAGGTATCATACTACTAACATTACATTATTTGTAGAAAATACACCATTAGTACAGCCAAATCTGATAATTCATAGAATAGATAGATTCTATTCAATAAATAGAACTTAAGCCAATTTACACTTTTCGAGCTGCTGGGGGGAGGTGTGGGGGGGAAATGTGCGTCAGTGACACAGAGGAAGTGTGTGTGTGTGTGTGTGTGTGTGTGTGTGTGTGTGTGTGTGTAGCCTCCTGTTATCAATTCAATCTCCTTTTGTAACAATATTGATTCATTTCAATCTTGATTCTGGTTTAGTCATATGCAAAATGCTCTCCTCAGTGTAACTAACAACAGTTCTGCTGACAATGACTCCTTCTCCCTCATTTTCCTTTACCTTGGGGGAAGCACAAGCCACTGTGCATTGTCTTGGACAGCCTCTATAGCTACAAGAACATTTCCAGTTCCTTTCTGTCTCAGTTCTACTCCTGCCCATCATATCCCTTGTTCTCCTATACTGGTGGCAGCACTGCCTCTACCTGTCCTTTAATTAAAAGATTCAGCCCTTGGTTTTTCTAGTTTTCTTCCCACACAGTCATTTCACATCTGCCTTTAGAGATGGGGTGTACTAAGGAGCGATTGTTAAAATGGCACCTTCTGACTCTGCTCACCATCTGCATTCAGTCATATCTACAAACAATGCTAACGAGTCCCCATGAATTTGAGGACTCTATTCAATATTGCCTTCTGTTTTTAAGAACTTCCATGGACTTGTTCATGCTCAGCTCGCATAAATAGCCTCAGCTTCTCTTTATCATTTCATCTGTCACGGCTTTCCTCAATGCTGTTCCACACAAGCTGGACACTGTTTGCACAAAACCCTATGCTGCAGCTCCTGCCATCTAGAATAACCTCTCTCTCTGCTTCTCGTTCACACACACCTGTAATCCTACCTGGAAAATTTTTTTTTTTCCCTTACCAATCACTATTAAATTCTCCCTCTTCCCCACTTCTTCAGTTACTGAATTACCTAACTATAATTCCACTATTTGTTTTTGTCAATGCTTATATTAACTATGGTGACCACAACACTGTTTTATTATCTTGGGAATAGAGCCTCTAGATTTACTAGCTCAAAGAGGATAACAGGATGAATTAAATGAAAGATCAGGAAAATTTAATTAAAATGTTACCTGAATACGTTTTTCTTCCTCTTCCCTCTTCTTCCTCTCTTCTTCTTCCTGTTTTCTCTTTGCCTCAATCTCAGATTTTCTAATACAAGAAATAAAAACAAGAGAAAGCATTTGATAATTACATAAATTATAACAGAACATAAATGAATAAGAAACATACAAGCACTGAAATAAACTGCCCAGGGAGGAATCTCCATCATTGGAGATTTTTAAGAGCAGGTTAGACAAACATCTGTCAGGGATGGTCTAGATAATACTGAGTTCTGCCATGAGTGCAGGGGACTGGACTAGATGATCTCTCAAAGTCCCTTCCAGACCTACGATTCTATGATTCTAAGCATCTTACATAAATCTAAATAGCAATTTGAGAGGCAGAGTAGTCCAATGGACAGGGCTTTGGATTGGGAGTCAGGAGACCTTTTATTCCCACCTGTGCCTGAGGCGTCACTTCACCTCTCTCTGACTCTAGTTTTCTCTCCTCCATTTGTCTAGCTTGTCTATATTTAAACTGCAAGCTCTTCAGGGCAGGGACCATGTCTGTACAGCACTTAGCACAAGGGGGTCCCAAACTGAATCAGGGCCTCTAGGTGCTACTTTAATATTAATAACAAATGGATTAGACTGTCATTTCTGTTTGGTTTTGAATCCAGAACTGATTATGTAATTCAAGACTCACAGTCGCCTTTCCTCCTCTTCCTTTCTCCGACGTTGCTCCTCCTCTTCACGTCTTTTCCTTTCTCTTTCCATTTCCTCCTGGATGCGTCGCAGCCTCTCCGCTTCCTCCTCTTGCTGCTTCTTTTTCTGTAGCTCACTCAGAAGCTGCTCTGAGCTCTTAACTAGAGCATCATACTCTTTCTGTATCTGTTCCCTCGTCATCACAGTGGCCTGGAAAATAAAATATGAAATATAGGGGATAATATTCAATAATGCTTGTACTGCATTTTGAAAAATATAAAGCCCTATAAAAGTGCATTACAGGTACATTGCATTTGCATTTTTGTTTTGTTTTGGGGGAGCACAATAGAGAGTTCACCTCCTTTCCAAAATACTGAAGATCCACTATTTTGTCTCACTTGTCACTTTAAACTACAAATAACCTTCATCCTTACAGCTGAGGACTGGCTAGGACCTCCCTTCTTTGAAGCATGTCATCCCTTTTCAACCTTTACTCCCTTAAGAAAGATATTCATGTTGATCAGTTACATACAATACTAATCATATGGCAACACAGCGGATGGTTTTACACCTCTCGTTATCCTGTCACTCATATCGTTGTATGGTATTTTTACTAGTCACCAACATTTAAAGAAACAAACATACCAGTATTTAAAATGACCTTAATATGATGCAAATTATTTAATTGGACAAGGTAATGGTCCCCACTACTTTTTTTTGAAAGATGTTTGATAGCTACAGTTTTATTTCATTCCCGCTTCACTGTTTTCCCCTTTTCACATTGATTCATGCAAACAATCATGAAATTTCATCTATATTCAGTTCACTTTTTTCCTCAGATGTCTTGTGTTCTGTGCATAGTAGATGATTCATCTTTTTCACATGACTATTATTTTTTTTAAATAGGCACTATAAAGGTTGACTAAGGTCAAAATTCTACCTGCTCTGTGTTAAAAACTTCAGTATCTTCTTAACTGGGATTTCAAATGTCAAAAAAAGATACTATCCCACTGCAATGGGACCATTGCTAAAACATCATGTTCCTAGATAGTAGAACCATTCACAATGAAGTCTAATATGTTAGGTTTCTTTCAATGTGCATCAATTTTGTTTGGACTTTCTATTAACAACCCTTGAGACAAACGTCAAAGCTACCAGCCTTGGTAGAGTCCTTTATTATAGTCAAAGTTGTCGCCATATAAGACTAAAATCAGAGTTTTGGCACTGCTTCAGTAGAATCAAACAATAAAGACATAGTCTCCTTAAATTATTCCTAGTGCTCAGTGTTTTCATTCTTCTGAGCTAAACCTGCTATTCCCAGAAGTTCTTCAGTCAGATATCATACATAAACCTCTTCGGGAGGCATTTTCAAAACCAACACATGAGCTCACTGAGAAGCAAAAAGAAAACATTTAGTCTTTTTAGATAACATTGTTGGCCTTGTGGTAATCTTCTTTGGCTTGATAGTTATTCAAAACCTCTTAAGCACCATGTTCTACTAAGCAATTAAGGTAATACCAAAACCCCAATTAATTTAAAACATTGCTACTGTACATTATTCTAAGCACCATATTTTGCAGCACTAGACAAAGCCTATGTAATACGTTTATCTCACAATATCAAAAGGGTTGCTACATCCATCACAATATGCATTAAGACCAAATTTTCAAATTTATATGCTTAGAGTTAGGGTGCCTAAATATCGATTTAGGTGCCAAATAAGCAGCCTTATTTTTAGTCATGCTGAGCACAACTAAATTTAAGGGGATTTGGCAAGAGCTCAACACCTCTTAAAATCAAGCCTCTTTATTTAGATGGCTAAACATGAATTTAGAAGCCTAACTTATGGCACTTGTATTAAAAACTCTGGAATAAATGCTAACTATAAATAAAGACTTTGGCCTTCTATTTCAGATGAAGTTAAAAACCATCTCAAAAGTTCTATTGTTATGTAATACCTTAATCTTGACCATCAAAGCATCAATAGATAACTCCAGATCCCGGATCTGCTTGCTCATCTCTGGTTTTCCCTCTTTCAGAGCACTTACTACTTCATTAAATTTATCAAGTCTCTTTTTCAGTGTACGCACTTTTATTAGGCCATTAATGCTGTGAATATAAAAAAAACCCAGATCACTATATTTTAAGATGTTTTTGTAAAGTAGGCGATAAATATTTTTTTAAAGTATCAGTAAATATTCACATTGATTTCTAATCCTGTTTTCCCTTTTTAAATCTGCTGTTTAAACTATGGGCATGTCTTCACAGGTTGGAATGGGGGTAATGTACACTATAGGAATGTGATTTCTAAAACACACTAATGTGATGCATGTAGGCCCTGCTGATGTGCTTTAACTTAGTACTTTTTGAAATAGCACTATGTTAAATCCTACTAGTGGACACCGGCAGGGTCCACACAGACAACTAACGTGCAACACGCTAGTATGCTTTAGTAATCTCACACCCATTGTGTACACTGCCACACCATGTAGACAAGCCCTGTAACTCTGCAAATCAAACAAACACATAGGGATTGCATGGCACAGAGGAAGAATACTGGCACATCGAGCCTTTGACTATTAATAAAGTGAACCCAATTAGCAGTGACCAAAGTCTATGGTCAGAAAGTGACCTACAGAATGTGAAATGCATTTGTGATCTCTAGTGTCCACATCTCAAAAACAAATTATTAGAGGCACCATTATTGGAGAAATCTGAGTGGTTAAAGATTGAGTTTTGCCTTTTACTTAACCTGAAGCAGTACTGGAACCTGAATCATCACAGAAACTCAACTACCCAGAAGGTGATCCCTGCAAGATAGTCAAGGCATATAAATAAGAACTGGAGGAGGAATTCAGCACCTGTGCAGCACAGGGCTTCAGCATGACACCTTTAAAAGGACTCAATTGAGCAAAAGGAACACAACCAATAAAATTGAAGTAATTTTGGGTACAACCATGCTTTTTTTGTGGTTTTACAATCACATTTTCTTCTTTTTTTTAAAACGGCTTTTCTCTCCTCCCTGTTATTGTGTGAAAGACTCAAATAAAAGAGGAAAATTGCTATCCAGAGAAAACAGTAAAATAGAAGACATCAAATGCAGAACATACACAAACTGAAAACAAAGATAACAATATTTCACCATATCTGTTTCAGCTATAGTAGTCTTAAGTGATACCTGTAACAATAGATAGAAATATTCAAAAAGGAGAGGTCGGGTTTTTTTAGTTGCATCCCTTAGGTAATAAAAAGTCCTCCATACTAGCCCTTCATTTGTTCAATAAGAATAGCCAAGTGCTCCCTGCTAACATGGTAGCTGGTTGAGAGAAGTTATCAATGGTTCAGTCATGCTGGAAGGGCATAATGAATGGGGTCCCACAGGAATCAATCCGGTTCTGTTCAATATCTTCATCAATGATTTAGATAATGGCATAAAGAGTACACTTATAAAGTTTGTGGACAATACCAAGCTGGGAGGGGTTGCAAGTGCTTTGGAGGATAGAATTAAAATTCAAAATGATCTGGACAAACTGGAGAAATGGTCTCAAGTAAATAGGATGAAATTCAATATGGACAAATGCGAAGTACTCCACTTAGGAAGGAACAATCAGTTACACACATACAAAATGGGAAATGACTGCCTAGGAAGGAGTACTGCGGAAAGGGATCTGGGGGTCATAGTGGACCACAATCTAAATATGAGTCAACAGTGTAACACTGTTGCAAAAAAAAAAAAAAAAAAAAAAAAAAAAAAAAAAAAAAAAAAAAAAAAGCAAGCAAAGGCAGCAAACGTCATGCTGGGATGTATTAAAAGGAGTGTTGTAAGCAAGACATGAGAACTAATTCTTCTGCTCTACTCTGCGCTTATTTGGCCTCAACTGGAGTATTGTGTCCAGGTCTGGGTGCCACATTTCAGAAAAAATTTGGACAAATTGGAGGAAGTCCAGAAAAGAGCAACAAAAATAATTAAAGATCTAGAAAACATGACCTATGAAGGAAAATTGAAAAAACTGGGTTTGTTTAGTCTAGGAAAGAGAAGACGGGGGGACATGATAACAGTTTTCAAGTAGATAAAAGGTTGTTACAAGGAGGAGGAAGAAAAATTGTTGTTCTTAACCTCTGAGGATAGGACAAGAAGCAATGGGCTTAAATTGCAGCAAGGGAGGTTTAGGTTGGACATTATGAAAAACTTCCTAACTGTTAGGGTGGTTAAGCACTGGAATAAATTGCCTAGGGAGGTTGTGGCATCTCCATTGTTGGAGATTTTTAAGAGCAGGTTAGACAAACAGGGATGGTCTACAAAATACTTAGTCCGGCAATGAGTGCAGGGGACTGGACTAGCTGACTTCTCGAAGTCCCTTCCAGTCCTATGATTCTATATTACTGGTCTTTATTTGAGAGAGAATGTCTATACATAGATTAATCAGAATACTGCACAATATTTGTATTAATTTTCTAATAAGTGTTACTCGTCCATTCAATTTGAATAAGCATGAATGCAAAAGCTAAATCCACACTTTAAAAATATTGCTAGTATAAGTTATTGTTTCGCACCCCCATCTTAAGACTATTCAGTTAGGCATAAGAAATATCAACATTTAAAAAAAAAACAGTTTTTAAACCTTATGAAATCCCTCCCTTCTTACCGTGGTTTGTGCTTTCTCTTGCAAAGCCACATACGAATAGTCTTTTGTATTTTAATGCAGGCACTAGCTCGGTATTTTATTTTGTTTTTCACTGCAAACACACAAAATAAATTCAATGAGTCTGAATGGTTTTATAATTTTAAATAGTTCAAGGGAATGCCTACATTCCCTACAAATACACGTTTGATAAGTCCACAAGGTATTTATTTTTTAAAAAAGTGATGTCCCAGAATGATAAATATATGACAAGTCTCCAACTCTCATCTATGATTAGATGCTATTTCAGATTTAGCTGATCTGTGAATTAGGTAAAGACTTATTTTCTCATAAAAGTCTCTAACACACAAAGCCCACCCAACAAACTACTATTTCCTTAGATGTAATTGTTTTAAGGTGGCAGGCCTTCTGCCCTATTATTCCAAAAAAGTAGGGTCATTAAGTTGTATAAATTTCTAGATTCTAAATATCCTGGAATAGATTCATGGGTGATACAAACGTGAATAAATTGGGACCTAAGTGAGTATGTGTAAATAACATGAAGCACTGAGAAGTCCCAATGGTGAAGCACTGGAATAAATTGCCTAGGGAGGTTGTGGCATCTCCATTGTTGGATTATTCACATGCCTGAAGTTAAGCAAGTAGGTATTTGCAGGCTGGGGGCCTTAATTAATATTGTTCAAATTACGAAGCAACGATCCAGTTGCTGTGCTATACTCTGTTAGTATATTTTGATTTACTAAAAAACAACATTAAATTACATACATTTAATCACTGAGAGAGAACACCACTGAACTTTTTTCCAGCGACTGCAGATAAGCCAGTGATTGACTCGTGTAACCAGCTCCGCTAGATGATCTGGATCAGACTTCATTATCTGATCAAACTCTGCAAACTAAATACATAACCAGTTTTACATAACAAAAGAATAGATAGAAAATAAACATTATAACCTAACAGAGCACTGAGGACAAAGGTAAAATATCAGTACGGTAAACAGAACCTTGTAACCATGGGAACTTCAGTTCAACTTCCAATTAATTCAAACACGTGAAAAGGTAACTTTGCTTTCACATTTTAATAGGTTCTGTTGATAACAGAAATGACTACTTCCAAGCCAGGCATTTTCTGACAGTTGCTGAGTGCTCAGTGGTTTTGAAAATCCAGACACATATTTAGGTGCCAAAATAAAGATTTATGGCTAAAAGAGACTAGTCATTTTGGGTACCCCATTTACTTAGCACCCACTCTGTAAATCATGCCCCTTTAAGGTATCTTAGGTTGGGTACCCAAAGAGAGAAGCCCCCAAGACATTTTTGAAAACCTTGACATACCAGCCTAACTTAACGGCATCCACTTTTTAAAATCTTCAGCTTTTGGATAATTACGTTACTGAGTAAGACAATTACATCTCTGTACTGAAGTCTCACTCCTAGATATAAAAGCTTTAATTGCTTCTCGTCCCTTTGCTCCAGCAACAGCAATGCTCATATTCAGAGAAAGATGATTTGAATATGGATATGTTTTAATGGGAAACCTTTGTTTCTCTGCTATAACCTTTTTTATTTTAAGCATGCAATATATTTTCACTCTAAGGCAATACTTTTCTGGAAGTTTACATAATCTTCAATACTCTATGTTCAAAAGCTGCAATTGAAAGATACTATTTACCTTGCCAGGTCTAAAAAACACCTTTGTTAATCCAAATTTGTAATCATTTTCATTTAAGCCCAAGGCTTTAAATAGTGCCTATAACATAAGAAAAAAAACAGTTTCATTCATATTTCACAAAAAAAGGCACAAAATAAACCAAAATAAATATTTTCTATCCGAGATGAAGAGAAAAAAATATGGACAACTCATTTGGCACTCAGGTGGTTGTTACCTTGCAGAAAAGTCTAGGGTCCAGTCGAGCTAGTTTTGCAGGCATATACTTTTTGTACATATTGTATAGCTCATGAAATGATGCTCGTGATGGGAAGCCACCTTGCATCAAGTCCAAAACAGACACCATACCTATTTTCACAGAAATACACACAAAAATATGTATGTCATTAAAATTTAAGTAAAGCAGTCGTTGCATATTAATGAGCAATTAATGGCTTAGGCCATTTGGACATGCTCAAATGCTTGGCCTAAGTCCCCAATGTAGTATGTGGTTCTGCATGGAATGGCCCCAGCATCCACCATTTCCTAGTCAAATGGCCTGTAAGCGTGCGGACTCACCCCTGCTGGTCTCTCAGGGAATTAGCTCGATTTCCAGCCCGGAGCGCCCTCTGCAGGCCAGTGATCCATCACAACTGGGCCCCGTGTTCCCCCCAGACCCCGGTGCCTGTTTTCTCTGGGGTGCTGCCGATTGGCAATACCCCAACAGTTTCTGTGGGTCTCCCCTCCCCAGGAAACCCCCACCCACTACCCCCCACCTCGCCTCAGTCTGGGCTACTGCCAGTCGTCATCTAGCCCACTCACTGGGACAGACTGCAGTATAAAAGCCACTCATCACAGGCAAGGGGGTTTGACCTGCTGCCTTCTTCTACCGCCCAGTACCTCTATGGGCCTGGGACCAGGCCCTGCAGCCTGGGGAGTCACCAGGCTGGATCTCCCCTGCTCCTCTGGCTCTCCCCAGCCTTGCTTCACTCCCAGGTACCCTCTTATTCCCCTGCAGCCAGGCCGGTCTCCCTCCACAGCTAGAGGAGAGACTCTGCTCAGCTTCTGGCTGCCCTGGCCTTCTTAGAAGGCCCAGCTGCCCTGATTGGGGCATGGCCCAGGTGTAGCTCCTTCCCCAATCAGCTTGGGCTTTTTCTCCTAGCCCCTAGTCCTCTCCCAGGGTTGGCTTCTACCCTGTCAGGGCTGGTGCAGGTAACCACACTGCTACATGGCCATTTATATCTAGACAGTATTTGGTCCTGCCATGCGGGCAGGGGACTGGACTCGATGACCTCTCGAGGTCCCTTCCAGTCCTAGAATCTATGAATCTATATGAAGTTATTCCTGAATGGCTGAGACAGTCTACAATAATATTCTGAGTCCTTGCCAGATACGTGGCAACTAACAGACTTCAGTGGGTTACTCTGTTAAATCTTTTTTGGCAGATCCACTACTTTGCTGTTCCTTCCCTAAAGCAGTGTCCCAATAATTTCTGAACAGACAAAGACTATTAATGTGTACGATGGCACACCAATGATGTCAGCGTGAGAGGCAGTGCAGAGTGCAAAGGTGCAGAGGCTGGCATTAGCACCTGTGCCGGCACACCCTGTTTACATCTAATGCTGGGATGTGCCTTAGCTGGTGAGATGCATTTTGTATATCTTTGATACAGCAAAAGTGGCAGAGTGGAATGAGTCTATTATAGATAACCATAAATACTGCCATCATCTCCAGAGGTGCAACTTATTGCTACCCAAATCAGTAAAAGGCTGGAGATGTTTCAAACAGTAATTAAAACAGACATTGCAATGCCAGAGAGTACATGAGTCAAGGCTAAATTCATGCCATGAGCATGAGTTCAAGAGAGTTTCAAAATCACCCCAGATCTCAGAATTAGTGGGAGAACCTCTGGGATGCCCCAAAATTGCCCCAAAATATCAATGTTTTGATGCATCAAAATGCCTCCAAAGTTGCATGATAAGAGTGTCACAGCACAGATACAGGAATTTCATGCCACGCCTTCTATAATCTCTTTCATGCAATGATCTCAAAATACTTAAACAACACAATCTCCATGGCAGTTAAATATTAACATATTATACCACTTTGCAGAATGAATAAACTAGGAAAATTGGGTTATATTTTGGAAGCAAGAGCCATCCTTGACCCACTCCCCCCAATTCCATATCTCATTATATCCTGCAGCTAAATAACATACAACCAGCCACGTGTCTCTGCTAATTTTGAAAAATTCCTAGCAATAGATCTTGTGCATCTCATTTTTAATTTTATTTGTGATTGTTTTTACTGACTCTTTTTGCCACCTTTCCTTATTGCATATTTGTTCTTGGTGAAGTTTGTGCTATTGTCATTCGCCTTTTGATTTACTTCCATTAATACCTTTTTTAAAACATTTCATATTATAAGTCGCTCTTTTCTAGCTTAAACTTTACTTCTCTCCCCCCAAGTTTAATGTTTATGTATACTTGTTATTTTACATAAACAGATTAATACGTGTACAAAAATGTGCTTATAGAAGTTTATGGTGAAAAATAAAAAGTTTAGTCTATTAATTTGTTTAATCTCACAAACATTGCCAAGTTCTATTAGCTGCTGATAATGGTGTTAATGGAATCCTAATTCAAGCAACATTGTTAAGCATTTGTGTGTCTATGATTAGCTAATTTTTACTTAATCATAACTTGGCATGACAAATATAAGTATGCTTGCCAAAACACCAAATGCTGAACCAGGAACTTCTGTAGAAAAACTAAGCTCAAACTACTGAACCCACAAAAGGATAATGGAAACAAACACCTGGACAGAAAAATGTATAAAGGACTTATGAAGAATGATTCAATTTAATATTATTGATTTATTTATATTGTGCCACCATGATTTTCTGGGAGTAAGTTCATTCTAGTAACCCAGTAAACCGTTCATATCAAGCATAATAGTGCAAGAACAAGACTGAATAAATCTGTAAACAATACCATGCAGCATCATTCAAAAAAACTAGATCGGATTGCTTGTACTCATTCTGCATTTGAGTTGTGGGGCAGGATTCAGGTGGGCCTACTTTCAATGGATCAGCCCAGGCGCACTGCAGAGGTCTCAGCTGAACTGATAAGCTACATGGCTGAAGTCACTGAAACGGATGGTACAGGGTGATTTTGGAGTCCATTCAGATGGCAATTCTTCTGCTCATAGATGACAAACCAGGGGGTTTCTGGCATAACTCACAGTGTGGGACATATTTAAAAGCTGATATTTGGGTTGAGATTGGACCTCAAGGAGGTAGAGATTACTCCCACGTTACAGACCAACCATTTACCTTCTTCTGTTTGAGGGCAGAGTGGCACCTTGCCTATTTTGATGGTGTACCCTCAGATGATAATGGAACCAGAGAGCTCTCAGGGAGAATACTATTTAGTCAACAGAAAATTCAGTTGATAATTGAGTGGAACTTCAAATGAACTTCAGTACTTGTCCATAGATACCGTGGCCCCTAAACAAGTTGCTCTGCAACTTCACTATTACAGGTCACTCTTGTTTACAGATTACCTGCAATAGCTGAAGTGATATGAAAGACTGTTAAAGTGCAAATGGCAGAAATCTCATGCCAAATCACATCTCTTGCAGTCTTCAAATTAAGACTAGATGGCTTTTGGAAGATACGCTTTAGTCAAACACAAATGACTGGGGTCTATCCCGCGGTAGCTGGGTGAAATTTAATATTCAAAAATTCTGATATTCAAAAAGTCAGACTAGATGATCTGACAGTCCCATCTGCCTTAAACTCTATGAATCTATGACAAGTGCACAATGGAACGGTCTTGTTAGATCCTTCTCTGCTTCTGGATGTTGAGATATAAGCTGTTAGCAAGAGTGTTTTTTTCTACATATATGTTTAGCAAGAAAAGCACACCTTTCCCTTCAGATGCATATCATTCCATGGATGTCATTCATACATTTGACACTTCAAGCACTACAATGAGTGCAAAATGGGGGATACATCTACCAATCAATCAGAAAACTGAAGATGGTGCAGAATGCGGCTGCTTGTTTATTAAGGAGCATTTCATGCTAAGAACACATAATACCATGATCTATACTGGCTGTCTATTTGTTTCCAGGCAGAGAACAGGGTGTTGGTATTAACATATGAATCCTTCAGCAGTTTGGGACCTGGCTTTCTGAGGTACTGCCTCTTGTTCTATGCAACACTCCTGAAGTTCAGCAGATGTGCTCAAATTGGAACACCATCAGTTTAAACATGAAAAGAGTGCTGACCAGGTGTTTCTTGTAAAGAGTCTTCAACTCTGAAACTCATGCCCCCTGCTCAGTCCATCTTTTGGGACACACTACAAGGTTCATCTTTATCTTCAGGTGTTTGGGGAGGAAGAGGGTAGAGGATTAAAGAGTGATCAAATGTGGGGGTTGCTAGACTTTTTCTTATCTGAGCAAGTATTACATGGGCGATCTTATAATATGCATTGTGAATCTGAATTTGTATTGTATATTTTAATGTTGTTGAGTGGATAGTGCTTGCCAGCTTTTTTTTTTTTTAACACTGAAAAAGTCTAATTAAAAATAAATTATTTAATTAACATAATTATCTGATTACCTAGAATCAAAATTAATTAATAAATACTTATTAGATACAAATCATTTAATTGTATCTAGAGACCATTAAATTAAGAACAGAAATATTTGTCCAAATAAGGAAACATTGTTTCAATGACAGACATTCCAACTTTGTGTGAATCTGTAATACACAAAATAAAAAAAATAACCAGAAATCAGTAAGAGGCATATATTACCTGAACACTGAAGCTGAGAAAGAATCTGTCCCCCTTCGAAATGGTGACTTGTCATCTTTAAATTAGGTTTGATGCAGCGAATAAAGCTTGACCCCTATTGTCAGGACAACAAGTTAGCAGAATCTACATCAATTTAAACCTTCTGAATAAGTGATCATTTAAAAATTACAGAACAAAGGAATAGTAATAGATTTCTGAAAAGGGAAACTGACTTTTTATGCTTTTCAGTCTTTTCATATCCATTTTGCACTCAACATATCTTGACGCAATTGATCTCAAAGTTCAAACTGTCAATTAGAACCTCACCTTTTCATTCAACAATTTTTTTTCTTACCACCAATAACTGAATCCAATTATTACTGCATCAGTCTAGTTGCACTCCACTACTGCAATCATCTTCCTTGAAAAAGACTAGCAACTGATACCATTTCTTTGCATCTTTCTTTATGCTTCCAACCATCTTTCTCTCCATTCTTTTCATCCCTCAAAATCGTTCCTTCTCTAACCACTCATCCCTGGCTCACCAGCCCAAACATATCAGTGTCTTCCCCGACATTTATCCCGATTCATGTTATGTGTTAGAATAAAATTGGGATTAATATGACCTGTGACTACCCTCACTGTGACCACTTTGACTGTACCTTGCATCTCTCTCCCTCTCCTCTTGGGACTAAATCTCAGGTCTAGCCAAGCTGTAAAATTGTGCTCAGCACAGGTCCTGGGGGACAGGGAAGGAAAGGAAAGGGTTGGGCAAAGGTAGCTGTATGTCACCTTTATGCCCCCAATCCTGGTAACTCTAAGACCACTGGAGTGAAGTAGCACCCTGGCCATGCCCCCTTCCCCTGGACAAGCTCTTGAATACTCCAACGGCTGAAAGAGGGCTGACGAACACTTAGCTACATTGGTTCTAAAATTTCCCTAGGAAAGAGGAATTTTCACTGGTCATTCAGGCCAGCTTTAAGTCTGGGGCAGGGCAAAACATACTTGATGACTAGGATCCAGCTCTCTGGACTGTCTTTTGTTATGTCTGAGAAGTGCTAAGCATATTTTTGGATACTACCCTAATATAAACAAGAAGAATTTTAGTATTCCTACCAAAGTGTCTGAAGACATTTGCTAAAGTAATACTGAAAATAGGGAGAGGCCCCGCACCATTCTGAAGCTTAAAAAGCAGAGATGATATAAATGGACAAAAATGTAATGGTTCTCTATGATCTAACTTTGTTTTTAAGAAATTAGATCAAAGCATAAAGTTTAGCGATTACTATGCTATTTAAGTAAGCAGGATAATTTACTACATCTAAATTTTTTTTAAAGAAGTTTCATTGGCTAAAATAATGTTTTTTCACCTCTATTTATAGAGTTGTTGATTTCCCCAAAGCTCAAATATAACTCAGTTTGATTACTTCCTTTGACCATATTGTTAGAGAAATTGTAAATATATAACTTCACAAGTATGGTAACTCTGACTCAGTGAAAAGTGAGGTAACACACCACTAATTCTGAAATCTATTTCCTGAGCTAAACTCTCTCTATACTAATGGGTAATCTTCCAGCAAGTAAAGCAGAATTTGTTATCCAGATTAAAGATGTGTGAAATATAGGTTGGATTCCCCTCGTCATGTATAGAAACCTTAATTTCTATGCCCTAAGCACTGAAGAAAGACACAAAGAATGAAAGAGGAAGAGAAATTTAAAAAACCTCACAGGATAAGACAAACATAGGAGAAAGTTTTAAGTATGGAACAGGAAGCTGCTAGTTCATATTTATCACAGAGCATAGGGATACAATCAGCTGTAATATCCTCTCATGAAGTGAGCTGTTTAATGACAAGGAGGCAGTTGTTCTGATAGGGAATACTTCTTGACCTACAAAAATACTAGGAAGATGTATCCTGCACAGAAGAGGTTTCTAAGAAATAGAGTATACATTAATGGAGGGCTTGCAAGAGTAGACTGTTTTCTTCTCTGTAAATCCATATCAAAGACAGAAAAGGTATAGTGGCTTTTTAAGCCAAATTCTAGATACTGAAGGATCAAGCAATGAGTTGTGGAGCCGACGCAATCAGGAAGTTAAAAATCAGACAAATGGCTGTGCAACTCCAGAAGCCATGAGGAAGTACCAAAGGGCTGTGAAACATGATTAGTCATGTTTGTCTTTCACTAATGAACTAAAGCTCTTTAAAAATCAATTAATTTGGCTCAAGAGCTTCTTCGAAGACTTTTAATGCAGCAAACCTTTCTAACACTGAAGCATATCAGCCATTTGGTAGTTACAATCAGCATCTTTTACTGAAACTCACGCCTACTATCCTCTGAGGGTCTGCATAAAAATAAAACAAAACAGAATTTACAATAAATGAGAAATATGCTCATCTAAATCCTGGACCTGAAATGTAAAGAAGTAAAGCAAACTCCTCCATCTATCAGCAGTGCTGACCGGCTATGGAGGGAGGGTTACCGCCAGGTAGAGTTTTAAGGGGTGTAGGTGAGAGAAGCAGAAACAAATCACAGCAGAGGATTAGAGAGACAGTGAATGAAGTGAATGTGAACTAATTTTAATATTGGGAGTATGGATGGAGGTGGTGGTATGAGATTTTTTTCCTGCTACCAATTAAACTACATGAATGTATTAGATTAAATTGCCAAAAAAACAGATAAAACTTCATCCCTAGATTTTCTAAACTCCCTTCTCACACTTGAAAATGTGAATGTGTAGTGAAAAGGGGATGGAAAAATAAAGTGCCACTCTACAACAAATAAAAAATAAAATTATCAGAGTTAAGAGTTTTCCTAGAACTTGTTCAAAACCCTGGCTGTTCATGAGTTAACTACAGATATATAGTGATTCAAAATCTGGTCACAAAAATAAATCAAACATAGGATGGCGGATTACCCATGAGTGAGAAGCAAATAAACTAGAGGAAAGGGAAATGATCAGGAAAGGAATTGGAGACTTGATAAAACTAAGTAATATTAATGCACTTTATCTGAATTGGTAGAATTTCCATGCTACAATACAAAATAAACTTTCCTTTCAGTAACTTTAATATTTAGTCTATGAATTTAATAATATTAAGCACCCATGTAGCAATACACTTCAAAAATGTCATCCGGTTGCAAAACAGGATAATTTTAATTGACTATTTATTATTATAAAACATTAAATTTAAGCCAAAACTCTTGGTTAACGTGAGAGGAGTGATAAAGGAAAATACAGAATTTGCATCTATATTTATACTTACAGTACTGCGAAGCTTTTCAAGGAGCAAATTTAATTGAGTCTGTAAAAAAAAAATGAAACAATTCATATTAGAGAACCATAAAGTGTCTGTCTTACTACGATCGTTATAAATTAGGTACACAGTAGAGTGACAACACTATTGCATGCATGAGTTATTGTTAGGTCTGTGTGTGAATAGTAGCTCATTCAGATTTGATAAACCACACGAACAAATCTTAGACAACATCATGCAAGAATACTTGAGTGACACCAAGGAAACTGCTTATGTTGAATACTCTTGTGTTGAATGGCATAATAATAGCATGCGTATATCTATTGTCTGAAAATTAGCTATTAGATATTCAAAGTACATACACCAGTAGGAAAATAAATAAGGAAAATGTTGTATACATAGTAGAGTTAGTGAGGAAAGTGACTGGACAGCAGTGATATGAATAATTTAAATCAAACTTAAAATCTGTGAAAAGCTACAGACAGTAAGGAATAATGTGTATCAGTATGTCAAACACTACATGGATAAGGACATTCTCAACACAGTTTGCACATCAAGACATTTAATACCACTTTTTTTTTTTTTTTTTTTTAAATTCTCTTTACAAGAGATGCTGTGCTCACCTTTGACTCAAGGCTACCTAAGATTCTGATTTAAATATTAATGTGTCATATATTTGGCCAGCTAAAATCCTCAGAATTACTTTACACTGAACTGTTCTTGGAATATGACAATCAGCAGATAAGTCTTCATTTTATTTGGGGGAGAGAGGGAATCCTATATTTATCCTGATGGAATTTAAACACTGAGAATTTAATTAACTCCCTGATGCTGAAACTGACTATGTGCAGCAAAGGATGAGAGCCTTAGGCCTCAACTACAGGTACAGGCATCTGAGTAGTACATTACAACTTCTACATATTAGAGTTTGGTTAGGACTTACATATGCGGGGAACCAGCTCAAGAGACATGGTTAAATTTTTGGCAAGGGAGTAGCCTGATCTTTCACAGACTAATGTAATGCTTGACTTGCTGATGCCTACAATACTGATTGTCGAATGTGACTTTACACAAAATTCTGATACCAAGTGGTCAAGCACAGTTCTGCCATTACTACTGTACTGTGTACCATAAAACAGAGGCTTGTTTTCAAGATTCTTATTTTAGACTAGCTGGTCTATTATTCTCAGGGAACCTAGTGTGCAGGGATCTGTGTTGGGGCCTACCAAAAACATTGCTACTGCTCCAGCTAAAGCTACCAGTGTCTCTCCTGCAGAGAAAGAAGGGGCCTATTGGTTATTCTTGCAGACAAAGTTGGTGGACTCTAGCACATACAGTTGGGATGAGTAAAGGAGTGTCATGAGAAGTTGGGCAGGCCCGGCCCAGCGAACCTGCTACTCAGATTTCACTGATGCTACATACTTTCCTTATCTAATTTTAAACAAATTATTTATGTTTCCCTACATTTATTAAGGAATGTATTTTATAAGCATTATTTTGGAGGAAATAATTTAACTGTGAGTATCAATATGCAGTTTTATAACAAACAACAACTGCTTTATGCAAAATTTATATATGCTCGTGATTCAGTAACAAGGAATGATCCAGTGTGACCCATGAACAAATTCTGTAAATGGGTTCATCTTCTCTCAAGTTGCTCAGATGAATCAGGCACACTTTCAAAACTGGTGCTATTATTGGAAACACTGGTCAAATCCTGAGAACTGCTCAGCACCTGCATCTTGCATTGATTTCAATAGAAACTGCAGAATCTCAGGACTTTTAAGAATTTGATCCATTGTTATCAATAGTAGCGTCAATTGCTCACAAAGTATCGGTTCCTCTCCAGATTAACTTGCTCATCATTCACTCAACCAATCTGTCTCAATTAGTTATTGGGTATTGGGGCAGGAAGGTGGGGGAAGTGAGACAGAGGTGGGAAGTCATTTGAAGCGCAGGAACAATTCCTTTACTAACCATCAAATAACAATCTTATTTTATTATTGATATGAGTGTCAATATTGTCTGTATTCAGCAGCTCTCCGGTATTAATTTTAAAACTTACTTCACTCTATGTTATAGATGCTTACATTTTATATAGTCTATTTCCCTGATGAGCATTACAAGATTATCTTTTTCTAAAATGTAGTCACTGTCTTTTACAAGGACTTCTCTCTCTCTAGAACATTATCTAGGTAACTGTTACAATTAGAGAAATTCAAGATTGATTTATTCACATTTCTCAATATACAAGTGAAGAATTTCCAGTCTTAAACCACAGAGAAAATAAAGCCTTCTATGGTAGTGATACATTCCCCAGTGCTATCTGAAGTGAAACTGAAATTTCCAATGCGCTAAGTGTTCATTAAGGGTATGTGTTATATCTGGGAAATTAACACTAATGAATTACTGTAAGTAGAACGTATACACTCAAAATGCCACAGAGGTACAAAACATTATGAACACTGATGTATTGAAAAGAAGAACTCATGCTGAAATTGCAGCAGCTATAAAATAATGAGTCCATTAAGGTAATAAATTTACCTGCAGCCCCTGGCTGTGCCTGCTTTTCCTCTCTCAACTTCCCTATAGTTCTCTCTAGCCATCCTGAGCTGAAATAATCCAGCTAAAAATAAAACTGCTGAAAGAGGAAAGGAAGTAGAAAACATGTGGAGAAGACAAGGCTTGAAGGTCAGCTTTGCAGTAAGTGGAAGAAAGGAAAAAATTAGGAGAAGCATCAGATACTGTGGTCAGGTAGTGAAAAAGGAAGTACTCAGCACACTGAAAATATTTGTCAAAGCAATCACTATTGCTGTCGTACACCATTTTAAATGAGGAAAACCAGTTTTAAGGTTAGCTTTTAAATTTTGAGGTGGCAACTTACTGACAAACTGTTACCTCTACATCTTCAAATAAAATGGAAGAACGCTTTTTGTCAAATTTAGAACTATAGGTTCCAGATTTAGAACAAGAACTTGGAACTTGTGCTTCAAAAGCATTATTTGGATTTGGGGAAAAAAAGAATTATAAGCTGCTGCATTTTAAAATAAAAGCAAGGATTACTTTCAAACAATCTTCATTATTTGCATAGCACAGGCCATCATTTAACTTGAATATGTGGTTTTATTACATTTTATTTGAAGAATAGCTGTTTAAGAGGATTTTTTTCATGAAAGTCAAATTATCATCTGATTCTTCCATACTTAAAGTTCCATTAATTTCAAGCAATTTAAAAGCAACATAATAAAGGAAGTAACTCATTTTTAATATTCCAGTACCTTGAATTTGTTTCCCACACTGATGAAGCTAAGCTTTCCTGCTTTTTGTTTGGGATCCTTGTTGTTATTAGTGGTAGATTCAAATAGTTCCCGGACAAACTTATCCTTGGATTCGCATATAAGAGATTCAAGGGACATGTGCAAAGCATCATTGTTTTTCTCCACAAACTGGGTCTGAAAAGAAAACAAACCAGTAAAGCGTTGCATATAAACTTCACAGTACTAATAGGTTTACTTTGTCCTACATAAAGATGTCCTTTGTCAAAATATCCCAACAAAAATACCTAATGCTAAAATACCAGGAATTTGAGGGGGGAAATATATTGAGAAAAATATTTAAAATGTAATTGTAGAATATTTATTGTCTATGTCTGACACTAACAACAGTAAAAGGAGAAAAGATGGTTTTATGTTTAAAGCACGGGACTGGAAGTCATGAGATGTGATTTGAAATCCTGGCTAAGCCTAGTCCATACTGAAGTCAGTGCTAGTTCTGCCATTGACTACAATAGCATCAGAATTTCACCCTTGGCTTCTATTTTCAGCTCTCATTACCTCACCCCTCAGCTGTGTTGTGAAGCTTGATATATTAATGCTTGTGATGCTCTTTGTGATCCTTAGAAGGTGCTGTAGAAATGCAGAATTATTATTCAGACCTTAACTAGTACATATTAGGGTTGGCAAATGAAGTGAGAAATAATTGAGATATTTTAGTCGCTAACTTGAAGGTGCATTTAAAAGGTCAGTCTTACCAACTAAATTAACTAAAACCAAAGACTGAGAAGTTTGCACCCAATGTTATGGTATTGGAATCAAGGAGAATTTTGCTAACAGTAACAACAAGCTATTATATTTATACTTCTATTGATTAAATAATGGTTAGACGTATTGGGTTAATCATCATAAAGAAGAATTTGAAGTGGCCATGTCTTTTTGGCGGGGGGGGGGGGGGGGGGAGAAGAGGAAGGTCATTTAAAGTTAAACCTGAAGAATTTTTAACTTGCCTGATTATGCCAAGCGGTCTCAATTTCCTAGCTTTTGTAAGAAAACACTAATAATATAAAGGAGAACAGAGCAGTATAAATTAAATAATTAACACGAGTTTGTTAAATCAAGTTACCGTCTCATAGCACACTGCTCCAGCAAAATGTCGGATAATAAAGCCCTCATCGTCTCTGATATTTCTGTGAACAGCCAATTTAGACTTCCTGGGAATCTGCAATAAAAACCCAAGTTACACAGAAAAATCATTAGGGACAAAATTCAAACAGTAAATTTTCAAATAATATTTTTCTGCCTTTCCTACAGGTTAAGATTAAAGCTGTGAGAAACTCCACTATTTCAGTTCACTGGGATTCAAACTTTTTCTTCATCCTGAGCTTTTTCAAGTTTGAATGAGCCTGCAACTCACAGTAAAATGCCACTGCAACTGCCAAGATTAATAATTTTTATCATCATCACTGCTTCCTAGTCCAACATTAATTCCCACAGGTGGCATAGAATGTTTGGTTGGTGCACAGTATTGTCATAATAATAGGGGATAGAGGCTCAAATTTATCTTTTGGATGAAATTATTTACAAGTAAGACAGTGATGCTGAAATTTGCCTTGGTGAGTTGTCCAAGCATGGGGTGTCACGGGATGGAAGCTACAACAGCTGCAAATTAGCTGCGTAGACTTCTGAATTAAGAGCTGAATAGCTGGGTCTTTCACCTTGTATCCAACTGTCAGAGCCAGAACTAGGAACCAAAGGCTGCAAGTAATAGCGGACTACTAAAACCTAAAGCGTCTGACAAGAATGTCTCATAGCACAGGAATCCAGTTAAGGAAATAAGTATTAATTTAGAGGAAAACATACTTTTGTTAAATTTGCCTGTATTTATGGAAGTGGCATTTCTTGTGATTTTGTATTTTAAAATATGCCTGTAAATACATAGTCTGGGATTGTGTTAGTCTTCTAACAGTATACGCCAGGGGGAGACACACAAAAAACACTTTCCCAGGTGGTTCTACCATTTCATCTTTAAAGTACTAACTGGGAAACTGAGAAAATTGGACTAAACAGATATTTGTCAAAACTCAGAGCTAAAAATCTTGGAAGAATTTGGAGAGATAAGGAGAAAAGGGCTATTTGATGGTATCAACTCTGCCTTTATAAAAGCATCTAAGTGAAAATCCTTTTTATTTTATTTTCATAGCTGGAAATTATTAGACATGCATGGGAGATTGTGATATCCACTAAAATTATGCGCAAGTTTTACAGACGTTAAACCTTTAGTGAACCTTTCAATAAAACCTAAACTGAGTTTACAGTTTGTAAAAATGTCTGAATGTCATATGATTGGCATTGCATAAAGAAAGGTTTTCAAAGAATTAGTTAAGACACCAGTCCCACTTTGTTTTTTAAAAGGGAGAGATGAATACGTAACACTTTCTAAAATGAAAGTTTTTCTACTTTTCAATAAATCATTCGATAAAGTCTAAACACTGGTTTGCACTGGAATGATCTTGGCCTTGGCCATCATTCTGGCCAAGAAAGCTCCATGGGTCCATTGAGAGAGAGAGAGAGAGAGAGAGACTAGGGCTGCCTACTGTTGCCATCCTTCAGACCCAAACTGATTTTCTGAATGGGAGTGCAACATGCTGCCACCAGACTGCATGAACATTACTGGAGGATTCCACTTGTTTTTTTATTCACAGTGATTTCTAACTTATGTCATATTAGCATCCACTCTGGGAACTTATTTTTATAAAATAATGAAGAGGTCATAAGTAAACCTACAGATAGTCTGAAATGCTCCTTGTGTTTTTGATGCACCGCAGAAGTAAAATGCTGGTCACTTGGTTGTGGAAGACGATTTTCTTCATCCAAAATATCCAGCACACCTACTAATTTTGCTTCAATCAGATCTATTCGTAAAACAGAAATCAATATTTTTGTGAAAGTGCTATATATAATTACATATCAGAACAAGAATGTTACATCAAAAATATTACCAACATGGTACCGTATAATTATTACAACCATCTTAATTTAGGTTAAAGAGAAATCTAATCACTACAAACAAGTATGGCATATATAGCTATTGATTTAAGCAGTATTCTGTAGCTCGCTGTCAAGTTCCAGCTATGAAACTGGGATATGATGGAAATACATTGGTGTACTTGGTCTTTTAAGCCTATACACCGTTTTGATTTTAAAAGTCTCTCACACAGGTTTCTCACTGTGCTGAATCAACAGTATGAGGAAGGATCACAAATCCATGATAACAACAACAAGAGAGGATGACCAAAAGCTTAAAAAAGCTGAAAAGACTTCAGCATACTCACAGCAGTACTGGGCATGATTGCTTTTTAAAGCCATGGTGCTTTGACTGTTTATATAAACCCTCAGACTTAATACGTATGAATTCTGTTTTCTGAAGATAATAGTAATAAGTATACCCATGCTCTTAGGTTAATGCTAAATGACTAAGAAATCTAGGACCAGATGCTCAAAGGGACTTAGGTGCCTAAACTCGAGTTTAAAGTGCTTAAGATCCACTTTTAAGCACCACTGAAATCCACAAAACCCCTCTTGGCTGATTTCTAGCCCTGTAGGCACCAAAACTCACTCAGCGCCTAAATTTTTTATGTATTAAAAGTATTGAAGTGCCTAAGTTCCCACTCTGTGCATAGACCCAGTGCCTCTCTCGAGTTATCTGGATGCCTCTCTCATGCTTAAGCACCTTAAACTAGGTGCAGATAGGTGTTTCCCAGTCTATTTTGCCTGCAGAGCTTGATCCAGCAAGTGTGCTATCAGCATGCCTACTAGATTGGGACTCATTCAAAATCTGACTAGAGGAAAATATTTAAAAAAAAATATTTAAAAAAAAATAAAAAAATATTAGCAACCCACTAATAAACAAATATAAATATAATGTAAATACTATATTTACCAATAATCACATTTACTATTTGCCCCAACCAAAAAGGTCTCAGCTTTGCCCAGTTGAGGAAGAAGCTATGTAAAACCCGCAAAGCCATAAAAGCCATTTTAAATTTTAAAAAGGCCAAATGTAAAAAAATCATCATTAAAAACATGCAAAAATGGCAAATTAAAAACAAAATAATGTTACAAAAGCTAAAAAAAAACAGCCCACACCCTAAACATTAAGTGGGTGGGTCCATACTCCATTGTAAACTGCATCTCGCCCGTAGCATACCAGCTTCAACTACCAAAAAAACTAAAATGGGCACATGCCAATCAGCTCAAAAAAATGTGTTTTTCCCTAGGCTTCTGGTCATGGTGTTATGGGCCTCGGCTGTAAACCAGCCACCTGCCTGGACCATCCAGGTTTCCAGATATCCATAAAATTATCTAAATAATTATAATTAAAAAAAAATGCCTCCAAAGGCTATCCCTGGCTCAAGCCGCTAATGGAGCCCGAGCCACAGAGTGGCGCAAGTCTAAAGGGGAGGTGCCTTAAAAACAGTGCATAGTCCGGATAGACACAGCAGGGCCACAGCAAAATACCTGGTGGGTGGCCCCCAAACCTCCCATGAACCCCCAAGGGGCAAACCCTGTTCCTCACGTAATGGCCTAAAGCAAAATAAAAGGCCCTTTGGCAGGCAATAGCAATTATTAAACCCTAAATGCAATATCATTGTTGTAACCTCCTAAACCAAGTAAACAACATCCATAATAAAAGCCAAAAAGGGCTGTAACAAAACAACTAATAATTTAGGGAGTTTTTGGTCTGTGCCTCAGTTTCCCCAATAGGTGCATTCATGTTGTTCTCTCTCTTTCCTCTTTTGCTTTGTTAACACAACCAAGCAGTAATAGCAAAAGCCCAGGAAAACCCCAAACAAAAGTGGTGGAACCGCTCTTGCTGCTTCAGGCCTGCAAAATTTATTAATATAATATAATGTATATATAGTAGCGCAGATCTATAAAAATCTGCGGGTGTCCAACGCTTTTGTCCTCCTTTGTTAATTTTAGCACTGTTCAAAATTAGCCATGGTAAAAAAAAGGTCAATTATCCACTGGCAGGGGGGCAACTGTGGCTTAGCATCCTAAAAATGTGGCATCACATATTACCTGAGTATTTTTCCAGGGGCGGCCCCCTGCCAAAAGCCTCAGGTCCCCTGGCCCTGCGTATCCCTCCCCAATTAAATCCCAAATGGAATTAACCCAAAAGGGCCCTGCTATAAAAATCCAACCAGGCCTTTAAAAAGGCTGCCTCTAAAACTGGGTGGCCCATCGCAACATATAAAAGCTGGTGCCTCCCCACTAACATGGCTAAGCAGTATGTGCTGACTACAACTTCTAACTATCAGCACATATAAATTGCAAAGGGCAACACTTAGCAGCTGTGGCTTATAAAGCCCCCTCAAATAAAATATAAAAAAAAGGTACTGCCAGGTCACTTTTATAAAAAAAAACAACACATCTGCAAAAAAAAAAAAAAAAGCATCAAAATATGCCCCCACTAAGGCCCATGTGTTTACCAATACCTCTGCGTGTGTTTAAAAAACCACCTACCCCAGGGTGTCCCTTAATTTGCTGTTACACTCTCAGGCACAACACTTCTGCAATGCATTGGCCCGCAGTTATGCAAAGTATGGTTAATATCTCTAATTATGTTGTGTTTAATTTTTCATAAATTACACCCAATGTGTTCCTGCCCTTCACACACACACAAAAACAACTCACATATTCCAAACAAATGCCTCCTCCTTTACAGTGTGGCAGGACACGTTTAATCTAAAAAAAGCTGCCTTTGTCACAGCCATCCAAATGGGGCATCTATGCCAACAAAAAAACATGTTATGCTATGTTACTAATAAAGCCAGAAGCCACTACTGGCTAGTGTATGCAATTGTTGCTGCCCTAACCTTTTTGTTTGTGCTATCTTGCTGTTTATGTAAAAAACCAACAGTAACCCTAGCCTCCATGTCCGAGGGAGGGTAAAAACCTAAATGGTGACCCCTCACAACAAAATGTTGACTCGGGGGGGTCAAGGGGGGAATGTCACAACCCAGGGGCCCCCCTCCCTCAGGGGGTCCCCTGGGGAGGCAGATCAGCATTGCATGTTGCTAACACTGTTGCAAGCATCACAAGGCATTTTGGGAAGGGTTAAAGGCGTAAGTGTGGGATGAAAGGTTTCTTTACAGGTGACGAAAGACCAGAGGGGGGGAAAAAAAAAAAAAATAACAGGTTAACTTGATATTCCAGCTACACCCGAAGATAAGGAGCTGACTCCAGCCCAAGGCCATTGCACACACTCTGCTACCTGCCAAGAAAGAACTGGGGGAGTCCACCCCTCCCCCAACCAGCCGTGAGAAAGGAGAGTGGCTGAATAAATTGCAGGGGCCGCGAAAAGGAATAAAACAACAAGGAAAAAATAACTAACTAACTATCTCACAGCCACCGGTGTGTTTTGGGGAAAGCTGAAAAGGCCACAAAAAACCAGTCTGGACTGGTACAAAAAGCACCAGGAACAGAGGGCCCTAAACAAAAACACCCCCAAAAGAACCCATGACTTAAAAACCCTCCCAAAAGCCAAAGCAAGTCAAAAACCACAGTAGACCCTAAACAACCCGTGCACGGGACAAAAACTCGCATCCACCCTTCCCCCCTTTTCTTCTTACATTACACCCAGGCTTGGTCAGCCTCGGGTACTGCATGTGTAAGTATAAAAGTGGGTTAGAGCTAGGGTACTAATGCTTTCTTGCTTCCTTTAAGTAACATAAAAGCAGTCCCAACACTCACCGCTGTTATTTTATTATTTTATTAATAAGCTTTAAAATTCAGTCACTTGGTGTGCTCCTCCATCTCCTCCCCTAAAAATCCTGCAGCCTCAGCCTAATCACCTGACGCCCCGGGCAGATTGGTAACATAAATCTGTCACAGTGGTCCCTTATAGCTTTTAGCCTAGCGAGTAGAGCACTCACCCAGGATATGGGAGACTCAGGTTCAACTCCTTCCTCTGCTTGATAGGGAGACAGGATTTGGACAGGGGTCTCCAACCTCTTCAGCGAGTGCTCTAAAATGCTGGCTATAGGATATTCTGATGTGGTCTCCTCAATCTCTCCTGATGAAATTGCTCCAATTTAGATAAATACTTAGTCATTGGGCCAGAAAGAGAGAAAATGACTCTATAGCCTGGTGGCTAGGACACCCATCTAGATGGTGAGAGACCCAGGGTCCAGTCCTCCTGCTCCAGTGATTCTATTTATCCAAAATGGAACAGCTTCAACCAGAGTGATGGGAGAGCCACATCAGAGTATCCCACAGACCAGTAGTTATGACACTCTCCTCAGAGGCAAAACTCCCCTGTTCAAATCCTCTCTCCCCAGCAGGCCTAGGGGGAGTTAAACCTGGCCTCCCTGCAGCCCAGACTTAGGTACCCAACTCTTGATAAAGTCTCCTAAAAATTGGGAGGGGTGGGGTTTAAGACACCCTACTCATCTGCATCGCACTTTGTCTAGTTCAGGTGGCTCTGCGCGTGGTGTGCTGGCTTTCTATTCTTAGGCACCTATCTCTGCGCATGCACTGGAGAGGGTGGTGGTAACTTAAGTGGGAGTGGGGACTACAAACTAAATGCCTCACTCTAACCTCCTCATGATGCAACTCAGGCACCCTTCAGGAGTAGCGACCAGGAGACGGCTGCCTCGACTTCAGTGTAGGTATTTACCTAAGCCAAGAAACTGACAAAACAGGCAAGGATCATATTAGATCGGACTACGCCCAGCCCAAAAATGTCTGTGCCAGCAGTTTGGGAATTTCGGCTGCCACAAAAATTTGGCTAGATAAAAACAGATTGTTTGGCAACAAAATAAGAGTACACATTGGAACATGGAACATGAGAACGCTGTATCAATGCGGCAAAGCCAGAATGTTAGTTAACAAAACTATTACTACATCCTTTTCTATAGACAGTCTCAGAATATGTGAAACACACTGGATTGGAAGTGGCAAACTTTCCATAAAGCACTGTAAAATCGTTTACTTTGGAAGGACAGACATGACCAAACAAAAGAAGTTGCCTTAATATTACCAGAAAAAGCTTACAGTTCTTTGAAAAGCTATACATGTGTCATCTCACATAATGAGCATTAAACTACAAGGTATGTGACTATAATACAAAACTACACACCCACAACAGTTGCAGAAGACAGCATCATAAGCCAATTTTACAATGAACATCAAGAAGAGATTCCCAGAACCCTCTGTAGAGGTTTTTTTAGTCACAGTCATAGAATCATAAAAACATAGGGGGTACTTTACTGCCAAGTTGGGGAATGATAACATGGACTGGGAGACCTGGGAAAAGAAGGCATAGAAATGAGTAGGGGGACAGATTGTTGGCAGCACAGAACTGAAGCAATCTGTTTAAATAACACACAGCATATCAGCACAGATGAGTCAATAAAGAAACAAAAGATTTCTAATGATGATATTACAAAAAACATGATCAACATCATCTTAGTAAAAACAACACTGGAAAACAAGTGTCCTAGACTTCAAGATCTACAGAAGGCTAAATACAAACTCAGACCATGGGGCAGTGATTGGTCTGAGTTTGTATTTAGGCTTTTGAAATGTTAATTTGCAAAAGATGACAAAGTGGTCTATGGCATCAAAGCTTTGAAAAATACAGACACTATGGTGACCTTTCAGAACACCATTAGTGGCCACTTTGCCCCTCTCTTAGGCCTAGAGAACACAACAGTAGAACAATTCTGGGAAGAGCCAAAATACATAAATTCCTGCCATGAGCAAGGAGCTTTTAGGGGTGAGGCCGTATCCAAAAAAGGAAAGACTAGGTGACACCAGAGACTGAAAACCTATCTAGAAGAAATAGAAAGTATAACATCTGAAAGCTAAAGATTGCCCGGAGTGGAAAAAAGAAATGCAGACAGCTCCAAAAGAAATTTAAAAAAATGGTTAAAAAAAAAAAAAAAAGAAGAAGCTATGAAAGACTGGTTTGGGAGTGAAGGCAAAGAGCTTGAACAATACTTACATAAAGTAATGCTAGAAGGCTTTTTCAGAAAGTCAGATTACTATCAAAGAAGTTAACACCTATAACAAGTCAGCTACATCATGCTCAGGGGAACTATATAGTAGATAAAGATCAAAAGCTTAAAAGATGGAAAGAATATTTTCATCAGCTATTGAACACGAATAGTCTTTGAGGCTATCAACTGTGAAGGCAACAACGAAGGAAGACACATATTGGAATCAGAAACTGCAATCATGCCCCTGAAAAATCAACAAGACACCTGGTACAGCTCCTTTACAAACTATTCAGGGACAAAGGGCGAAGTCCCTGAAAACTGGCAATACTACATTATTGTATTGCTCTTTTAGAAAGGTGAGCTGACAGATTATGACAACTACAGAGAAATAAGTCTTATAAGCATTCCTAGCAAGGTATTCGTAGAGTGATTCTCGGCCAAATGAAAAGAAAAGCAGAGGAAATCCTTTCTGAGTAACTAGCTGGCTTTAGACCTGGATGGTCCACCATAGATCAGTGATTTGTATTGCGTCAAATCTTTGGGGGAGAGGGGCAGGAGAGAGAGATCAACGAATCTATTTTGCACATTCGTTGACTTTCAGAAAGTATTCAACTCCATTAACAGAGAGGCTCTGTTAAAAGTACTCAAGTGGTATAGTTTTAGCAGGAAATTGATTCAAATATCGCAGTGTCTGTACAGCCTAGGTTGGCATGCAGTAAGAGTCAGTGGGGGGGTCGACAGAGTGGTTTGAAGTGAAAAGGGGAGTCAAACAGGGATGCGTACTCAGTCCAATACTCTCTTAGTAACATCGGTGGAGGCGCCAGAATATTGGGGAGAAATTATCCATCACCTTGACTTTGCAGATAATATGGTAATGATACTCCCTGCGGAGAAATGCAACCAAGAAGCAGCAACTAACTTGTACACGACATCCAAAGAATGGGGATTGAAAACAAATGAACGAAAGACCAAACTAATGGCAACATCAAAAATCAAGCAACAGGCTAAACTAGTCATCAGTGGTGTAGTAACCAAACAAGTAGATGGTTTATGCTACTTGGGTTCCATCATAATATATAGCAAATGATGTGAAGATGACACAGAAAGGCAGACAGCTATTGACAACGAATGTTCACATGCCTGAATAAAAATGTTCGGATAGTTAAATCAATGTCTGTGACAGCTAAAAGTAGATTTATATAAAACACTAATTGTACCCACATTACTTTATGGTTGTGAAGCATGGGTACTGACAAAGAGCCTGGAGCAAAAGCCACAAACATTTGAAATGAGGTTGCTGTGCTGTAGGCATAGGTGCTGGAACTAAGGTGCTGGGGATGCGGCAGCACCCCCTAGCTCGAAGTGGTTTTCATCATTTACAGTTTGGTTCAACAGCTCTCAACACCCCCATTATTCAAATTGTTCCAGCACCCCTGGTCGTAGGTGTAACACTAAATAAACTAAGAAATGGCAGCATCCACAGAAAAGTGAAAAAGTGCAGTGAGTGACTACAATCGTCAAAAGATGCTAACTACAATGGTTTGACCATGTCACTAAAATGACCCCATACCGACTGCCAGCAATTGTTCTCTGTGGAAGAGTGCATGGAGAGAGAGAAGACAGCTGTATAACACGGTATATAAAACCATCCAGGCAACACCTTAACAACAGGCTCAAATGGCAGCTCAAAACAGGTTTGCGTGAAATCTGCTCACAACCTTGGCCCTACCCAACCTTGGCTTTGGAAAAAGGAAAAGATGATGATTTGAAAAGTAACTGTCTAAGCCAACATAATCTACCTTTATTCTGTACCCTATTCAAATACTACTTACAGATGTTCACTGCAATTCCTGCCCTGCCTTAATTCTATTATAGGAAACTATATTAAATTCAGAGATTTAGGCAGAAGAATCCTTTATTCCCAAGATCCGGTGTCAGGCAGGAGTAGCATCTCCACTGAGGCAGAGAACAGTGAGATTTACAGACATATCAAATCAACACTATATTTACGGAGTCTACTGATTATAAATTATCAGATGTCACTGGAAGTTGGAACATTTTGGAAGGTGCAATATAAAGCAATACTCACACATCTCAGTCTCATATGGCTCCTTTTTTGAACAGTGAGCAACACAAAAAGCAAAGCCTCAAATGAAAATGTATTTTTATACAGAAACCAGTGTTGCTGTCTTTTCTCATCCATTTAACTAAGATAACAGAAAGTCCTTTTCTGCTTCCGGGGCACATTTGAAAAAAAAATATGCATCTGAAATAATTAAAAATGATTTTTTTTGTAGGAATTGGAACCTCCTTGAGCCATGACAACATTCATGGAAATGTACCCATATCAGACTACCAGATGGGGCTGGTTTGTGTTCATATAACAAGACAGCACTTTTCTTGCTGCTACTCTTTAGGTTTTCTTTCCTGTATCATCTCCTACTGTTCTGTCAGCAGCCAGCAGTCATCTTTGCCTGGCATGGCTACCAGTGGCCAATGAAGAGCCAGTGATGCATGTCCATGTCTGCCTCGGAGGAAAGATATCTGAACACACCTATAGATGCTCACAAGGAATCACCAGTGGTGACTTTGCAACTGATGCCAGATGGGAGTACCCTGCCATCATCACTGCTTCCCTAGATGGGGATCCTGAAGCTACCACAGTCAATGCTGCACTGAATTGCATGTCAAAGTCAGTTTCTCTCTTCATCATACTGGATAACCCCAATTAGGGTAACAGAAGTTGGGAGCAGATAAACCATTTTAACCCTCTCACCACATACTGAAAGCAATAGCAATACCTAAAAAGCAACAGAGGGTCCTGTGGCACCTTTAAGACTAACAGAAGTATTGGAGCATAAGCTTTCGTGGGTGAATGCCCATCATCCTTGCATCTGATGAAGTGGGCATTCACCCACAAAAGCTTATGCTCCA